ACACATACAGGAAACAATGTTTTCTTAGTCATTGTGATCAATAAAGAGTTCATGAGTATAAAAACAACACAGTGAATCCCACCACCACCTATATCTATAAGAATAGGACTCTAATTAAAATAAGATATATTCCATGCTTGTATAATTGTATAAAAAATGGATTCTGCTGTTATATATAACTAAAAAGAACCAATAAAATAAAAAAAGATTTAATAAGCATCTACTATGTGTAAACACTGTGCTAGTTTGGATGAAGCAAATTTAAGACATATTCTTTACCTGCAAGTAACTTAAAATCTATCTAGGAAGAAATGTGATTTAATCATAAGTAGCTTAAAATTGTAAGAAGAAAATGATAGACATGTGATGGTGCTATACATACTTAGTTACCCAGTAAATTATGTAAACAGCATTTCCATGGGTTTTGAAACAAAGGGTCGATTTGATGTAATCAAAGCTTTACATTTGTATGATAATCACAATTATTCATTATGCTGCAATTAATATTTAAATATTTAAATATGTAAATATGCCTTCTTTATTTCTATAAGGTTGGATTATTAGGAATTCAAATGATATGGACACGGGATTCAGAAGAAGCCCTTAGAAATGCCAAGTTTGATAAAAAAATTATGCAGAAGACCAATCAGTCCTTCCTGGAGCTGCTAAACACACTGATAGACATCACTACGAAGGATCTGAGTCCCATGGAACGAGTGAAATATGAGACTTTGATTACTATTCATGTGCACCAGAGGGACATCTTTGATGACCTGGTAAATTCTTAGTAACTGCTGTGGCGTATACACGAAAGCAAGCAGTAGACACACCTGTGTTTAGTTGCTGGAATTAGTTAGATTGAACTGAAGGAAAATGTTTGATTCAGGAGTCATCTTCTTGATCAGACCTTGTTTATCAGACTTTCTCTTCTGCCTTAAACTGAAACTTCCATCATTTTCTCATCATCTACACTGTTATTGAGGCAATTAGACTTTGTTTTCAAATTCTTCATGTGATTATTTTAAATGCATCCTGAAAATCTTTATTGGTCTTGTGTTCCTTTTAGTTGTTGATTGAAGATCACTAGTTTCTTGCTGCAGAAATTATGACTAATATTGCTAGTAGAGCTTTTGAGGGCTTCTTTTAGGGCTTCTGATAGATCACATCCTTACTTAACAAGTTTTGGTACCTTTTATGTCATTGATGGCAACGTGGTCTTTCCGAACTCAGCCTGTGACATTCAGGTGTCATGCAGATTTTTGCCTTTAAAAAGAAAACAGGATGGAGAAGGAGAATTCAGTGGCTATTAAAAATGGGAAATGTGAAAAAGAAAAGAAATTTGTCCTCTACCATAAAATACAACATTAGATAAGAGGCAAGAAGCTCTCTCTTACTTTCATAATCATTTTCTGAATTGTGTCTCAACCCCATTATGTAAAAAAGATTATGAAAGATTGGTCCTGATGGAATGGAAATAAAAGGCAGCACATTCAAGCTATTTTGTGCTAATCTCCTCTCCTAATAGTTAAGCGCACTGTTTGCCTCTCTGAGAAATAAAGGGCTCAGGGATAATTTTCGATTTCTTATTTGTCAAAGAAAAATGATTAAAGTGGCTTAAAATTTTGGTTGAAAAATCCAGACAAAAGCTTTGCCGGGCAATAACTTGTCATTTAGGTGTTAGAAAATTTTGCCTGCTGCAAGTTCCTAGGAAAAGTAATTAATGGATTAAAAAAAAACCCTCAATGTACTTTGACATAATCTTAAGAAATGCCTTTTTCCTAATGAGATTGTTTAGCTCTGCCTTTGTATGCCATTACATGTTTTTCCCAGATTATAATTCATGGTTGGACTATGGTCTTGGACAATTAAGAGTGAAATTTAAGAAATGAATCTTATTATTAAACCATGTACTGTCATTTAAATCAGAGGGGCATGATTAGGGGTTGAGTTTCCTATTCTCATGTCTTCTGAGTTTTTATTTTTTGATGAATAAATGAGTGGGTTGGGTGATGACGTCGTCCATGGCTTTGAGCTACTTGGGTCGCCTGCGAGTTCCATTTCTTTTACTTGATGTTCTACGTAAATGCCGATGCGTATGTTTAATTAGTGATCCTCATCTCGGTCTTGACATACACCTTTTGAATTTCAGTGTCACACGCACGTCAAGAGCCCCACGGACTTCGAGTGGCTGAAACAGTGCAGATTTTATTTTAATGAAGATACTGACAAGATGATGATTCACATCACCGATGTGGCTTTCATATATCAGAATGAATTTTTAGGCTGCACCGACAGGCTTGTCATAACTCCTCTCACGGACAGGTGATGGAAGAATCCTGGGATTCTGTGGCCTCCTCTCCCCGCTCCCAGGTTGCTCCAGGGACACTGGCTTCATGCCTCTTTAGGGTTTGTAGAATCTTTCCCACCAAAGCCCTTGAGGCTCAGCAGGTCTGGCTTTACACCTGTGTCTTCACATGGGATTCAGGTTGTGGCTGAAAGAGACCTGATTCCCTTGCCTTCAGTCTTGTGGAGCCAACGTGTAAAGTCCCTGTGGACCATTGGGCAAGAAAGAGAATTATGGCTGTGTGTCGCCCGTGCAAATCCCAGCAGGCCTTGAAGGCTCAGTTAGTAGTGGTGGGACCTGTTGTCCTCCCAGAGAGGCAGTTAAGATGATTGGTTAGCAGGAAAGAAATTACGGATCAGCACAAACGAAAGCGGTGGGGAGGGCACCAGCCGGGCGTGGGATGTTGTCGGTGCTGCCCTGCGTGGGTCCTTGGCTGGTCCTGTTGGCTGGAGCCTCCACTGCAGCYTCCCTGACTCTGTCTCCCTATCAGGAAGATGAACGAGGCTGGCTCCTGCGGCCCTTCTGGCACTAGTATTCAGTCTAGTGTGAGTTCCCTGACATCCGCCACGTTGCATCTTCTCTGTAAAGAGATGAACTCAATACTTATGGTGGCCATTTGACTGGCTTTAGTCTTCCCATGTTGTATGTGTCTTAGCTGTTTCACTGCTGTGACCCAAAGACCTGACAAGAACAATCTTAAGGAGGAACCATTTGGGGCTCAYGGTTAAAGAAGTCCAGTCCATAGACAGCCCCCTCCATTTCTCAGGGCTTGAGATGAGGCAGGACACCGTGGCGGACGGTGGGGGGGAGGGAAGCAGCTGAGGAATGACACCAGGAAGCAGATCTCTCTAAGACTAAGCTCAGCTCACAAAATATAAACCCCAAAGGTTCACCCCAATGCCCCACCTCCTCCAGCCTCAGCCCACCTGCCCTCAGTTACAACTCAGTGAATCCCATCGGGTGATCAACTCACTGACTGGTCAAGGCTCTCCTAACCCAACCATCTCACCTCCAAACCTTCTTGTCTTGTCTCACACATGAACTTTTGGGGGACACCTCACATCTAAACCATAACAAATGGTTCAACCATAACATCTATAACAAAGTGTCACAGTATATACCATAAATGTAGACAATTATAATTGGTCTAGAAAAAAAAATATTAATTTAAAAATGTGGAGCACTCCCCAGTAGGAACTTACCTTGAACGACTTGGCAGTTAGCTCCTACCTCCTCTTTTTCATGTCCCACCTCTTCCTTCCTTTCCTCTCTTTCCTCCGAAGGCCTTGTTTGCTGTTTTGTTGAGAAGACAGCTCGGCATGGGAGGAATAGATGACTTCTAGATAGGGAAGAGGGGAGGGAAAGAAAGGGAGGGGACAGGGGATTAGCAGGGATGGGGGAATGTGATGGACATCATTATCCAAAGTACATGTACTGGGGTCAACCTACTTTATATACAAACAGAGATATGAAAAATTGTGGTATATATGTGTAATGAGAATGGTAATGCCCCCCCCAACCACCAAAACGGCATCTCTGCTGTGTCCCACAGTCTTACCGTGCACACTCCAGCAGGCACCTGTCCTGAGCTGTTGCTTTCTCTCCTGGTTCCCTGGATGGGTCCTCTGTGCTGCCCTCCGGAGTCAGCAGCACCTTTACTGACACCAGGGTCTCCTCTCTGCAGTGTCTTCAGGGTCCACTCATCAACGCACACACATGCTGCAGTTGCTTCTATAAAGAAAACCATCCTGTGTGGCCCCAAATTCTTTACCGTTTCTGTGGGCCAACAAAGCCCCTCCAAAGCTCGATTTCCCTCCTCCTAGGTTGCCTGAAGTCACTGCACTCGGACTCCTGGTGTAGACTTTCTTTTGCTACATTCCCAACCCCTTAAGTTTGTCAGCTGGAGCAACACAAGTTCATTATGTGTACACATCCGCACACCAGGATTCTGATGCGGTGTCATGGGGYTGCATTTGGATGTCAGCAGAGCTGTGTTCTTCCTGGGGACTCTGGGARGACAGTGTCCTGCTCTTTCAGGTTCTTGGTTGAACTCCTTTTTTGGTGGTTGTAGGACTAGATCCCCATGTTCTTACTGTTAGCAGAGGGTCATCAGGTTCTAAGAGCCACATTCCTTGACGTCCTTCCTCCGTCTTCAAAGCCTGGTACCTTCATGCTTCCGTTCTCCTCTCCATCCATCCCAGGGCTGTGACCTGCTCTTCTGCATCCATTTTTAGAGGGCTCATGAGAGTAGAGTCCACTGGGTAATCCAGGGTCATCTCCTCTCCTCAGGGTCCTGACATGGATGACATCTGCAAAGTCCCTTTAGCCACATAAGGGGACATGTTTACAGGATCCAGGGATGACAGCATGGACGTCTTTGGGGACCATGATCCTGTTCTCTCACTTTCCACCACCACTTGGCTAATGCAGCTCTTGCAAGTCACCCACACCATCAGGTCACCCAACGCGGTGGTCATGTCTGGATCTCKCCTTCTTGGCTCGGCGCTAACGGCCGCCCAGCTGTCTCTCTCCTTCTGGAAGCACTTTCTTCACCCTCACCTGGCTCCTCCTCCTGGTCTGGATGTCTCTTCCTACCTGCTCCTTCTGGGTCCCCTYCCTCTCCTGGACCTCTCCCCACCTATGCCCACTCCATAGATGATGCCGCCTGGCTTTAAATGCCATCTAGATGTTGGCCTCCATCTCTGCATCCAGCCAGGGTTCTCCCTGAACTCCAGACACAGGCATCCCCCTGCCTCCGTGACGGGCAGGGCATTTAACTTTAGCATGTTTGGTCATCCCACCAACACCCACTTTCTTGTCACCTCCTTCTCTTCTGTAAGTGACCATTCTATTTTGTCACAGTGGTGGGGAAATGAGATGGTCAGAATAGTGGTCCCCTGGAAGGTGTCTGTGTCCTAATTCCTGAAATCTGTGACTATGGTACCCTCCTGTTGCTGGACCCAAAACTCCTTGGATCTTTGGGTTCTAAAGAAGTGTTTTCTGAAAGAATCGATCACTTCTGAATTTGCATCTTTATGGTGAAGCATGTAAGTTATTCAGAATAATGGAAAGTGGAAACTAAGAGGAAAATCTGTTTTTTCTCAAAATGCTGAGTTGCTTAGTTTTTAATCCTCCTGAAAATTTGGATCTTTCAGGTCTTAAAACTTGAGAACGTAAAAAGCAAAGCAAGTATGTATAATTATATAAGGTAGAGACAGTTCTAAAGTTTATTCCATCCTGATTGCCCCGAAGTACTCACTTGTTGATTCTCCTTAAACTCACTCAGTTATGTGAGAAGAGAGGCRTCCTTGTGGCTGGCCACTGGGGTGCGTCTTAAGACCCACTGCCTGTTTACAGAAAGAGAATCCTCTCTTTCCTCACTAAAGAGAATCCTCTCTAAAGCCAAGTGCTGGGGGCACTGATGTTTGCCATTAGCCTGCTGCTGTGTCACCTGGGAAACCCAACCATGGTGGTAGCTCCCTGGACTCCAAGCAGCTTAGTGCCAGTGCACAGTCCTGCTGGCCCCTCAGGGATCCAGTGGCCCCCACGATGTGGTAACAGCACCCAGCACCTTACTCCACATACTCACGTAGGTGTCAAACGCGGCCTTCCTCCCACACGCGGGAGAAGACTYCTGTCCTCACACAGGACCAAGGGCAGAGGGAATCGAGGTGGGGGCGAGGCATCTTACCTGCTCACTAAGAAGCACAGACGGGCTGACAGCACGGGTCTGTCCCTGACGTGATCTCACAGCRTCTGTGGCCTCTCCCTGTCTATTCCTGCTGCTGTGCAGGCTCGGGCCAGGCACCCACCCCCTCACTTCCTTCTCTTGGAATCTGTGTGCACTAGACGTAAGGCTGGGTAGTCTCCCTTATTCTTGAAGGAATTTGTTCCAAGACCCATAGTATAAGAAAAGTTGCACGCATTTCTCTTTTTCCATATATCTCAAATGTCCACTTAGTATTTTTGAACTGCAGCTGACCTCATGTAGCTGAACCTGCCGAAGATCAAACTGTGGATCTGGGGTTTGGGGAGACAGAGTAACATGTCAGTCATTATTATTTTTGCTGTGACGGCTGCTTCATCCCTGAGCCCACATCCTTTAGTCACCTTTCTTTTTGTTTCTCCTTAAGTTTGTCCTATTTCAAAGAGTCTATAACTAAACTAAGTTTTCTCAAAGAAGTGCCTTGTTGGTGTGCATGGCCTTGTAGTCATAGGAAATGGTCCAGCATTTTAGGACCAATAGGCATCAAAATGACTTGCAGTTCACATGTGCTGTGAATGCTCAATACTAATGACGGTGACAGGTTCCATAAACCAAGTGCTAATCAGCCTCAGGTCATGAGGTGGGTCGCTGTCCATTCCCCGTCCTGGCCATAGTCCACATCTCTAATTCCAGTAGGCGTTGGGGCAGAAGGAACCAGGTAGGAGTGGATGGCTGGACCAGCATAAGCTATTCTTTGGGAGAAAGTCCAGGGAGTACAAGGAGCCAGGGTGAGTCAAGTGGTCGGGGATACGAGCGTGTACTAGGCCCTGCTCCTCACAGCACAGGGTTCGCTGTAGTCTAATGGGTAGGCGGGAAACTAGACCAGGGCCGTGAACAGGCCACCGAGGAGACATTGTTGAAAATAGCTAAGAGAAAAGATCAGAAAGGGAAGCAGAGAACCGAGGGAGCAAAGTTCACGTGTCCATGGCATGTCCTGGGAGGAGACTCATGCCACTCCCACGGGGCTTCCTGACGGGTCCTTGCTGTCCACCGGTGGGTAGCAGGGGTGGGTGCCAGGGTAGAGTGGGACAGATGCTCACCGACAGCCGGGTCTCCTGGAAGCCTGCCCACTGGCCATATCCATGGGATGACGTCCTCTAMCGTAGGACCTGGCTACTTCTCTGGTTTATTTGTAAGCCCAGTGTTCCTGGGGGTAAGAGGTTTGTAGGACGTGGCAGAGTGCCGGCGTTGAGGGTGTATTTCTAGGCCTGAGGGGGCTTGGCTTGCAGCCCCGGGCTGCCCRACCAACCCCAGGTAGGTCACTGAGTCTCTGTGGGCCTCTGGCCTCCTTTGTGGAGGGGAAAGAACAGCAGTTTCCTCGCGGGGTTCTCCGGGGATGAAGCGAGACACTGTGTGTGAAGAACATGGCATTGCTATTGTCATCACAGTCGCAAAATCCCAGTGAGGGCAGGTGTCCTCTGGATCCCTCAGCCAGGCTCTGGGGATTTTCAGGACTGAGCAGCTTCCTTGGCTTTTCAGGGRCCCATTTCTAATAAGAGACCCCGGCGGCCTCCAGGCAGCATCTCCCTGTCTGTCTCCACCCTGAGCTGGATCATCCCTTCCTTTTCTTGGAAGTCATTTTCAAGTTCAAGGGAATCCTTGACAGTTTGACCACGAGAAAACCGAGCGGCACCACGGGATGGACTCTGTCCTCCGACAGCCCCAGGCGTGGCCAGGGGTCAAATAATCCAACAGCACGTTTTCAGGGTAAAGCTTTTCCTTTATAGGTGTTCTCCTAGTGACTCCCCCCATCTTTCCTCTGTTAATCTTGTGGGAATGACGGGGAGAGCGGTAGATGCAGTGGATGCCCAGAGACGGCRTCCGGATGTGACTCTTCAGCAACGGGCGATTTGAATCCCCTACACCAGCTCCACGGGGAATTCATCTATTCAGTGGTTCTCAGTTCATTTCATAGAATGCTACTCTATGTTCATTTTTAAAAAACAAATTTTATTGTGTGTATTTGAAGTTCACAGCAAGATATAATAGAAAACAATGTTGTATGTTGTATTGTTGCACAATGCTGTATTCAATCCTCATGTTGTACATTCTGGTCTTTAGAATTCATCTTACATAGTATTCATTTTACATAACTGAGAACTTTGTATTCTCTGACCTGCATTCCCACATTTCCTAATCCTGCTCTGCCTCTGGTAGACACTGTTTTATTGTTTGTGTATTCTGTTCATCCCCCAGCCCTTGCTAGATTCCACCTATACGTGAGATCATGTGGTATTTACTAGCCTTTCTGTATCTGGATCACTTCACTTTACATAGTGTCTATCAGGTCTATCTCTGTTGTGGCAAATGGCAGGATTTTCTACTTTTTCATGGCTGAGTAATATTTCATTGTGTAAATATACCACAGTTTTAAAATTCATTTTCCATTGACAGAGTTGGGCCATTCATGGCTATTGTGACCAGTGTTTCAATGGACACAGGAGTGTAGGTATCTTCATGAGGTGATGATTTCATTTCCTTTAGGTACATACTCTCAGGAGGCATTGCTGGGTCATATAGTGTTCTATTTGTAAATTCTTTAGTAAGCCTCGCTGTTTTCCATGTGGCAACACTGAGCTGCAGTCTCACTAGCAGTGTGCAAGGATTCCCTTTCTACACATCCTCACCATCATCYGTTATTTCTTGTCTTTTTGGTGGTAGGAACCTCACAGGGTTTGGGGTGATACCATGTAGTGGTTTTAATTTCTCTTCCCCTGATGATTGGTGCTGTTAAGTGAATATTGTTCTTTAGATATGAATGGATTTCCAGAAAAATTCGATAAATAACTTTTGGCAATTCTACTTACTTGGAGATTCTTTTTTTAAAAAAATTTATTGGTTCTCTTTAGTTCTACATAAAAGTAAAAATCATTTCAATATAATTGTACAAGCCTGGAATATATCTTATKCTAGTTCTGTTCCATGGTAGAATTTAAACTTTTACAGATTCATTCCACCGTCTTTCCTTATCGTATCTACCCTCCCTTTCCTTTATTCCCCTTTGTCTAACCTACTGAATATCTATTCTTCTCCTCATATCAGTGAAAGCATTCCACCTTCAGCTTGCTGGGATTGGCTTATTTCACTTTGCATGGTAGTCTCTAGGTCCATCCATTTACTGGCAAATGTCATAAAGTCATTCTTTATGGCTGTGTCATACTCTATTGTGTATATATAACATATTTCCACTATCCACTCATCTGTTGGAGGTCATCTAGGTTGGATCCACAGCTTAGCTATTGTGATTCAGCAGCTATAAACGTTGATGTGGCTGCATCACTGTAGTATGCTGATTTTAAATCTTTTGGATATAAAACAAGGAATGGGACAGTTGGGTCAAATGGTGATTCCATTCCTAGTTTTTTGAGGAATCTACTTGGACACTGCCTTAATAAGCAGTATCATGGATCCTAAAAAAAAAAAAAAAAAAAAAAGAATCGGCATTCTTGAAACTTCCTTAACCTTTTAAAGGGTTTTAAAACCTATCTGACCAGAGACTCCTCTTCATTTTCCCTGACACATCTTAACATCTGTGAGGACAAGTTCATTTCAGGATATGGTTTTGGGGCTGTTCTGTAGGGGCAAAGGCCCCTCCTCTGTCTCCACTCAGGTGTGTGTTCTCCTCCCAGAGCCTCTGAGGGTTCTAGTGGTGTTCCACCCTGCAGGTGCTACATCACCTTGGCCCAAGCTCTGGGAATGAGCATGGGGGGAGCCCCGGCAGGACCCGCGGGGACGGGCAAGACGGAAACCACCAAGGACATGGGACGGTGCCTGGGGAAGTACGTCGTGGTTTTCAACTGCTCAGACCAGATGGACTTCCGAGGACTTGGTCGGATATTTAAAGGTAACTTGATTAGAAAAGTCAGCGAAGGTGAAATAGCTTCAGATTCACTTTTCAAGTCCGGGGATGTCGCTCAGGAGTAGGTAAGCATGTGTGAGGCTGGGAACCAGCCCCCAGATAAACAAACAAACAAACTCAACAACTTTCAACTACTGGCTTTGTGCATTTTAGTGTCAATTTTAAGGGTTATTTTTCAACTTTGCAAAATTCTTTTGGAGACTCTTGAATCTTAGCAGTGTGGTGCGGGCCCAGTGTTCCTATCGCCTGCCTGTTGGAATGCCCCATTATTGGTGCAGGCTGAGTATTTACAGATGATACCCAGTTGGGAGCTGTTTTGGGCCTCTTGTGGTATGACCTATTAGTTCATCTTTATTTTTGAGTAAACCYATCTCTGGCTCATTTTGTTAGCTGCGTCATGTCCTTTTCCTTATTTTCAAAATGATGCACTAACTGGATTTTCTATTTAATTTCCTTTCTAAGGACTGGCCCAGTCTGGATCCTGGGGTTGTTTCGATGAGTTCAACCGGATCGATCTGCCCGTTCTCTCGGTGGCGGCCCAGCAGATTTCCATTATTCTCACGTGTAAAAAGGAGCGTAAAAAATCTTTTATCTTTACCGATGGAGACAATGTGACCATGAACCCTGAATTTGGACTCTTTCTAACCATGGTAAGAGCCGTGGGGAAAGCTGCCCAGGAGCRGCCTGGTCTTTCCTCCTCTCTGTGGTCACATGTGACCTGCTTGCCGTGAATGGAAGCTGGGACTGTCACTTTCTCTCCTGGTTGAAAGCCTCTGGCATGACACCAAGCTCCAGAGAATAGCTCATGGCTTGGTCTGTGCAGGTGGAAGGGGGTGAGCTGTGGAAATGAGCCTCTGGTTGTCGCTCCAGGATTTTTGTGTCCATAACAGGTCGTCGGATRTCATGCTGCTCTGTGCTCATGGCCCCAGGAACATAGCAGTCACCCTTGGGTTTTGTTTTCGGTTTAGAATCCTGGCTATGCTGGGCGGCAGGAGCTCCCAGAAAACTTGAAGATTAACTTCCGCTCGGTGGCCATGATGGTCCCCGACCGGCAGATCATCATAAGGGTGAAGCTGGCCAGCTGTGGCTTCATTGACAACATTGTTCTGGCCAGGAAGTTTTTTACACTCTACAAGCTGTGCGAGGAGCAGCTTTCGAAGCAGGTGGGTCCCCCCCGAAAGGCTCTCTGGATTGTTCTATTCAGTGAAAAGTTCCCGTTTTGCAAAATTGTAGTTTGGAGTTGTGGACAGAGTACCTTACTGATACCAAACATGGCRTATCATTAGAAAACTGATTTTATCTGCATAGTTTATTGTGAAGGACATTTAAAGAAGTTAGAATTCCTTTAAATAAGAATAGAAATAAAGCAAATACTGTCCAGACAGACTTAAGAGCCAACGTATCTTGGATATTAATATTTATGATCTATGTCACCTGTATGGTATCTTATTGTTATGGTGTTCAGGCCTCCCAACATTTCTGTTTTTGCCTTCTAAGCTCAGCAGGTATCTGACCAGGCGTTGCTAACAATCCTGTTGTGAACTCCTGCTAGTTTCCTCTATTGCTTGGAATAACAGGATCAGGCACCATGAAATTTCAGGGCTAAGAGGCATGAAATGAATCATAGTATTAGCTATTGTATTAGTTATCTGCATTAACTAATTAACTGTTTTAACTAATACTTGTTCCCCTGTGTTATCTATTGCTGAGTAATAATCATATCAAAAGAGTAGCTGAAACAATACACATTTATTATTTCCCAGTGTCAGGGGGCCCGAGGTCACTGTGACTGGGTCCTGGGCTCAGTGTCTAACCGACAAACTGGGCTGCGGTTTCGTCTGATGCTTAGCTGGGGAGTGATCTACTCCAAGCTCACCCAGGTTGTGGGTAGAATCCTGCTCCTTGGGGTTGTAACTGAGGGGGTGTTTCTTGCTCGCTGTTGGCCTGAGTCACCTTCAGTTCCTACAGGTTAGGAGCAGGATGGTCGTTCCGGATGGGATTCCCCAACATGGCTCTGGCTTTCTCAAAGTCAGCAAGGAAGGGGTCCARCGCAGTGAGTGCTCAGGTAGTCATGGGCACGCAGTCACATGCAGCCTGTGGTCCCTGCTGTATGTCAGAATCAAATCACAGGTCCTGCCCAGACTCAAGGTGATAAGGTCACACAAGGGCATGATGCAGGCAGGCATTAGGCCACATTTTTTTTTTTTTTGCACATGTAAGTAAAAATTACTAAGAATATTGTGTTGGTCAGTTTTCTGTCACTATGACCAAGATACCTGACGAGGACAACTTAGAGGAGGAAAAGTTTATTAGGGCTCATGGTTTCAGAGCTTTAGTTCATGGTGGGCCAACTCCGTTGCTCTGGGTCCAGGGTGAGGCAGAGCATCACAGTGGAAGCGAGTGGCAGTTGCTGGGTTCATGGTGCCTGGGAAACAGAGAGGGAGGGCGGGGTGTAGGGGAGATGCGTCCTTACAGGGCACACTTCCCTTGACTCACCCCCTCCAGCCCTCCCCTYCTGTCTGCAGTCACCCCCCAGTGAGTCCATTCAGAAGAGGGTGGACTGATCAGTCACAGCTCTCACAGTCCAATCCTTCCACCTCTGGACACTCCTGCGGTAACACAGGAGCTTGGGAGACACCCCATCTCCCAACCATAACCAGCCTTGCTAACGGATGCACTACTCCACGAACAGCACCTTCAAACCCAGGCAACGTCAGGTTGCAGAGGTGACTTCGTAGGTAACCTCCGAAGGCTTCCGTCTCCAACTTCTTTGAATCCGGAATCTTTTTAGACTCTCAGGATGGACCGATTTACATTCAACAGGTCTTTGCTGTGAGTTCTCAGCTGCACACAGAGCCTCTCACCTGGCCCAAGAACCTTCCTGGCCAGCCCGGCCCGAACTCATTGCTTTTTGCCACCGACATTCTTGGCCTCTGCGTATCACTTCCTTCACTCACTCACCCTTATCCTTCCCCCTGTCCCTCTGTGTGTTGTTCTTGCCTGTGGAAGGCTGCCCACATGACCGACTCCTGCCTTCCCCTTGCMGACTCTTCACTTCCCCCTTCACTCCTGCGGTCCACGTTCACCTGTTGTGAAATGACCTGAGTCAGTGTGCACACAACAGTTGGCCCCGTGAGGACCTTCTGGGAATCTCCCTTGGCAGTCACATGTTTAACTCAGAGCCAATACTTATGGGAGGTTTTCCCTGAGGAAGTTCACCCACCAGCCCTTTCAAGTCACTGTTGCTTTTGTGAAAGTTCGTTTATTTATTTTTATTGTTATTCTGAGAACGCCAATTCCTCGAAGGCAGGAGCCCAGGCTGAATGGCTTGATGTGCTCCATCCTCCACACGACCCCTCCCGAGCGAGGCACAGTCCTCCACTTACCTTGATGATGTAGTTTTTATTTTTGTTTTTTTCATAGGCAAAATATATATATATATATGTAACATATTGTGGTAAAAATATATAACATTACGTCTGCCCTCTTTACCATCTTAAGTGTGCAGTTCAGGGGTTTAAAGTATATTCCCAATGTTGTGAAAAGAATCTCCAGAACGTTTCATCTTGAAAAATGGAACCTCTACGGCTACCAACCGACAGCTTYCTCTTCCTGCCCACCGGCCCCGGGTACCCGCCACTGTACTTTCTGTTTCCACGGATTTGACCAGTGCCTTATGCATTGGTTAAATCCTTGTGGACTTGACTTGGCACAATGTCCTCACAGTTCATCACRGTGTGGCTTGGAGTTCTTTCTTATTGTGGCTAAATACCATCTCATGGTGTGTAGATTCCACATTTTGCTGATCCATTCATCTGCTGGTGGGCATTGGGTCGCTTCCACCACTGGGGCATTGTGACTAGTGYTCCTGTGAATACCGGAGTGTCATATCTCTTTGAGAACATGCTTCCAAAGAGGGATGCTGGTTCATAGGGTAGGGATCTTTTCAACTTTTGGAAGAAGCACCATCCTGTTTTCCACAGTGGTTGGGTAACTGGATTTTAATGATTCCCTTTACATATGCTGAAATTTGGCCGGATGGAGCTTGCACAAACACATACCCAGGACAAACCTGGGGCTYGGCTTCCTGATTTACCCTCCTGCTTCCTCCTCCAGGTAATCCTGGAGTGCAGCTGCTCCTCCTCCTCCATCGCCCCACCTTCTTGCTTACTAGTAAAAAGTCATGTGTGTGTTGCGGGGGTGGAGGTGTGACATGGTCACGACTGAGATCCAGTTTAATGCTGGTTCTGAATTTCAGCTTTAGAGACACGGCTAYGTTTCCCCATGTGGGATTAAGAAGTTGTTAGAGGGGGACATCTGTACTTCACAGGGAAATGAGCACCTTTTTCCTGTCTCCCTGTATCTGTTAGTTCTCATCTAAGGGCTTAAGCTAATGACGATACATGGGAAGAATTTTTGGACTTTTGCTATTTGCTCAAAAAGTATATAAATAAAGAAATTTATCACTCTATTCTTTGTATGAAGTTTTAAAAGGAAAATCAACATTCGTTCATTATTGTAAATTTGTCTTCTGTCAAATTCAGTTTCCATGGATAGTTTCATATTGAAAGTAATCCCAGTGTCTCTCAAATTCTCCAGGTCCATTATGACTTTGGTCTGCGTAACATTCTGTCAGTTCTGCGGACATTGGGGGCAGCAAAAAGAGCCAACCCCACAGATACAGAATCTACTATTGTCATGCGTGTGCTACGAGACATGAATCTGTCTAAATTGGTGAGGTTCACAGATGGAAATGTTCTATCTGGTTAAATATCAGTTACACTAATTAAGCACAAATGAGTTTTAGAAATATTTATTGGAAGTGCCTAATTATCAGATAAAGTGCTAGAGAACATAACTTTAAATTATACTTTTTCAGAGGTTCTTTTTGCAACGACTCTTATCTAGTTTAAAATGTCTATTCCAAAAGATGGTGGAATGAGACGGACATTATTGCTCTATGTACGGGTATGATTGCATGAAGAGTGTTACTCTACATCATGTACAACTAGAGAAATGAAAAGTTATGCCCCATTTGTGTAAAAATTAAAATGAATTTAAAAATTGAAAGTGGGTTTTTAAAAAATGCACATGTTAAGTAAGTTTCCAAATACCTTAAATCATTTTTGTCTTGTTCAACTACTCTTGCCTTCCTGAGTCTATGGAGACTGGTAGAAAAATTTGTTAAATTTCACAAATGTGTAATAATTTTATATACTCTATTTATCCTCCTTTTTATACTCCCTTTTACCATCACACAGGTATGTGGGTTCTGTTTATCTAGAGAACCCTGACTAATATAGTACATACTCTAGTACACGTTTCCCAATTTAAACTAAAAAAAAAAATTTAAATGATAGTAGGAAATTCATGAATTAATTTGGTTCATGAATTTATTTTGAAATAAAACTTGATCATGCTGTCATCTTGTCTAAAAATCCATTTTTATTGGGCATTAATTATGAGTAAAAACTATTGGACTGTGTTGTGCACACTTAAGGTGAATCTCTGCCTCAGTTTGCCAACCACATGCAACTGATTTTTAGAAATCTCTTCACTGAGACACCCAGAAACCTCTTAACCTTGGGCATCTCTCACTCCAGTCAAGGTGACAATTCATGTTAACCATCACATCTACCTAACTAGGTGTTTTGTGGAAAGGTTGTCATGCGGGTGGGGGTGGTGTTTTCTTTCTACTTCCTTCTTTTCTCAGTTTTAAATTTTTAAGAAAATTATGGTAAAGATGAGAAAAATATTACTCAACTTTGATGAAGGTGATATTTATTAATGGTAATGATAGTTCATGAATTATTAATACAGAAATAACTTGGACCATGTTGGGCATTTTTATTTATCTATCTATTCTTATGTTTGTGCTCACATAGTCTGATTTTTCTTTCTTTTCTTTTTTAGATTGATGAGGATGAACCCTTATTTTTGAGTTTAATTGAAGATCTCTTCCCAAATATCCTTCTGGACAAGGCAGGTTACCCTGAACTGGAGATGGCAATCAGCAGACAGGTAATATGGCAATCAGCAGACAGGTAATATGGCGATCAGCGGACAGGTAATATGGCAATCAGCGGATAGGTAATATGGCGATCAGTGGACAGGTAATATGGCAATCAGTGGACAGGTAATATGGCAATCAGTGGACAGGTAATATGGCAATCAGTGGACAGGTAATATGGAGATCAGCGGACAGGTAATATGGCGATCAGCGGACAGGTAATATGGCGATCAGCGGACAGGTAATATGGCGATCAGCGGACAGGCAATCAGATGGTTGCCTTGCTCATGTGTGGCGTGGCTCTGTGGTTGGCCTTGGCATTTGCCACCTTGCTGTGGTCTCCAGACTCCTGTCTCTGAGTGTTACTTGCAGTGGACTTATGTCGCCTCTCAGCTATTGTTCTTGAGATTTGTTCCTTAGGCTCTGGGTGGAGGGATCCACTACCCTAGGCATACCATTCGGAGTCTGGATTTCCCATGGTACTTGCTGCTGTTTAATTTTTACAGTCTTCCCACGAATGGAAATTAATTACAAGACCTTGTGCCTCAATTTGATTTCTCATAAAGAAGGGTTTGGAAATAAAAAGTTGTTTTCTAAAAGAAGGTGATTTGTTCATATTTATAAGATGCATTTTAGTTCCTTGAAAACATTTGCAATAAAAATCAAATGCAGTAGCACTGGATGTATGTTTTGCTTAAAATTAGTATATAAAAGTCTGAGTTTCCTCATCATTTGGCTGAATTTGTAGCACTACCAAAAGAACTAAGTATCAACTAATTTATAAGACAGCTTATATTAGGGCTGGGGTTGTGGCTCAGTGGTAGAGTGCTYGCCTAGCATGCATGAGGCACTGGGCTCAATCCTCAGCACCACATAAAAATAAAAYAAAGATATTGCATCCACCTAAAACCAAAAAATAAATTTAAAAAATATGCTTATATTAGTTATTTGAGTACATGAAAAATCTGAAGAGCAAATACATGACATAAACGATACGTGATTATTATTCAAAGTTATTTAAATAAAATAAAAATCATTTATGGTGAATTTAAGCATAGCATGATGGTTAAGCCATGCATAGATCTTGGAGCAGAACATTTGGGCTCAAATCTCAACTTGAGAGCTACAAGTTGAACGTCTTGGGAGATTGTTCAGTCACTCTCGGCCTCAGTTTCCTTAGCTGTACCATGAAGATTTCAATAGTAATGATCTCATCGTCTTGTATTGAAGGTTAATCCTAGACTAGAGTTTGGTATAAYTTTTATACTCTGCAATTTGGTTGATAGAAACTATGTAGATATACCCACTATAGAAACTAGAAAGACAGCTTGAAATTTATATGGAACTTCACTCAATCTGGTATGTCATCCACTTTTCTATTTTTTAAATTAAACATTCAAAATACATTTTACACTGAGTCTTTATTCTAAAGTTGTTCCTGACTTGTACATTCAAAAAATTCGAATATGTTTTCAGTTCCCAAAGAGAAATGCAGATGTGTCTTATTAGTATGGGATATTTTAGTTACACTCAGCCTGATTTTTGTCTATGTCTGTGTATATTTTTTGTACAATATGTTTTTTTTTATTGTGGTGAAATACACACCATCAAATTATTACTTTAAACATTTTGAAGTGTGCAATCAGTGATATTAAGGACATTCACATTGTTCAGATATCACTTCCATCTGCCTTCAGAAGTTTTTTTTTTTTTTAAAATCTTTGCAGACTCCATATCTACTCAATGCCAATCTCCTGTTCCTTCTCCCTGCTCCTATGTCAATGCATCTCTAAAGCACGGTAGTAAGTCAAATCATTGTGAATGTCGGCCAATGTGGGGTTTCGTTGTTTCAGGTGGAAGAAGCTGGCTTAATCAACCATCCTCCTTGGAAACTGAAAGTCATCCAGCTGTTTGAGACGCAGAGGGTGAGGCATGGAATGATGACCCTAGGGCCTAGTGGAGCAGGGAAAACCACCTGCATCCACACCTTGATGAAGGCCATGTCAGGTACGGCCGCCAATTTCATGACACATTTAAACAGTTGTAACACACCTGAATGCCCACTAGGGACATGCAGGCAGATGCACGAACATATTTTTATAGGACGGAAGGCTGCTTTACTGATTATTAGGTGCATTTAAGGGATAATGTATTACATTAATGGACCAGAGAGAGGAAGCATTTTTAAAGTGACATTTTCACGGTGCTATTTGTTTTACAAATGCTAGGTCATTTAATTTTCACGATGATCTTGAGAGGTGCCCATTATTATCCCCATTTTATACAAATACCAAGACTCAAATTTGGAAATGCTCCAAGTCAGAAGGATGGTAAGCAATGGGCCTCAGAGTTAAGGTAAAGACTCACTAACAAAAATGCAGACCTCTCCCAACATACCATGCTACTTCCCAATGAAAACATAATGCAGCATTCTACTTCCCAATAAATAAAATAAAATTTCAGTCTCAGCTCTGATGTGTGGAAAATCATTCTGATCATAAACCGCCTCCCCACTTGAATCAGATCTGGTGGGGTTAAACGAACAAATACACTTTATTTACAGGTGTCCCTAGTTGTCTTCTCTCTAAGTTACTCACCTTAGGTATTGCCATGTTTATGATTATTTTTTGTTCCCTGTTTTTCATCAGACATTTATTATCATTTATAAACATATCAGCAGCCCTTAGCTCTGACAGAGCCAACTTCCAAAATTTCATAGAACTTGGCTGATGGAATACTACACGTCATCCCACAGGATAAAGGTGTTGGTTGGGTTTTGGATCAGCTCATGGAGCTGCAGTGTGCAGATACTGTTGCATTGTTGGTGGCTGCTGGAGATTGCCAGTATTTAATTTAGGTCCCTGTGTGTGTTGGATATGGTCTCTGTCCCCTCAGTTGTTGGAGGATGTGAATTCTGTGCATTAGAACTCTGCCAGAATGTTTTAAGATGGAAATAGACTCTGCTCCTAGCCAACACTTACCTCCACCAAAATAGAACTCACACCTGCCAGGTTTATCATGAGATTTTTCAGGTATGCTATTAAGATTCTGTCTGGGGATTTTATAGTTTTAAAAATTGTGTTTTCCCTCTGAAAAGTAAGCTCAGTATTTTCGTTGCAGTTGTGAAGCTGTCTTGTGCTAAGAATAAACTTGTAAATGCACCTGGTGTAATGACTTGAACAAAATTAAGTGCTAAATTTTAAACAGTATGGATACATTGTATATCATATATCTAAATTACATAGTCCACATGGTGTCATTGATTTTGGAGATGATCCTTGCAAAGGTGAATTAATTATTAGATTATTTCTGAACCCAACACTTGGTTTGGGGATATARGGAAAACATTTGTTATCCTCAGTAATACATTGTTTTTGCTGAAAATTTTAATTATCCAAAAGACAGAGGACAATGGGGGTAGAATTTCTACTAAACAACCTGGGTGTTTATTCCCTGATAATATTGTGATTTGATCATCACATGATTTTAATGTTCTGGACTTTGAAGTTCTGCCAGGTGTACTAGCAGTAGGAAAACAGGTATGAGAAAGCATGCCTCTGTTTTTTAAGGGGACTGCAGTGTGGCTGGGGGAACAAACCTAGGAATAGATAACTATAACTCAACAAGGAACTGCTATGAGCAAGCTTTGGACAATTATGCTGTGAACAGAGGCCAAGGAGACTGGACACTTGGCTAAGGAATTTTAGAAAGTCTTACAGAGCAGGTGCTACTTCCTCTGAGGCTTGAGTAGCAGATGGATAAAGATATTTTTAGCAGAAAGAAGAGCCTACAGGTAGGAAGGACTGAAGAGAGCATGAGATATCTGGAAGTGCTTTGGTGTGGATGAAATGCCCTTTGTTCATGGGGTGGGAGTGTGGGTGATGAAGCTGGTTATGCAGGTATGGAAGGTGCRACTGGCATCCAGTGCCACTCTTTGGCCCTCCCCTGCTGTAGATGCAGCTGTGTTGGAGAGCCCTCCAGACCCACACTAGCTTCAGAATATCTCCCAGCTTTTGAAGCAGCGAACTAGCCCAGCCTAGAAGTCAGGGTTGGTGGGAGATAATGTTTCTGAGGCAGCCATTCTATCAACCAATGGGAGAAGACCCCGTGGCAAGTGTCCCCCTCTTGTCTTTCTTTTTTATTTTCGATTCAATGCCCCTTTCTATTGCCTTCTCTGATTTATTGTCTTGGTCAGTCTATCTCTTCATCTGAAATTCCCAGGGTCCAAGTCCTGGTTTCAGGTCTGCTTTTAGATGGGTCTCAGGTAGGGCACTGGGTGGCCTGAGGGGCTGTGTGACTCACACCAAGCATGGAGGTTTTGTTCTGTAGGTGAAGGGAAGCCACCGAGCCGGGGAGTGGCATGATCACCCTGTGGGTGGAAGGCCATCTGGTGGTCATGGAAGAGCAGATAAGGGGCAGCAGGGGCCATCTGGAGTCCATAAGAAGGTGACAGCAACTAAGAGGTGCCTACACCAAGGCGGAATCCAGGAAGGTCAAGAGATGCCTAGGAGAAGCAAGAGGAATTAATCTAGTCAACACTGTAAAAGTCAAGCACTGTTTTCCTTAGAGTGCTCTTAGGAGAAAGTGGTGGCCTCTTAATAAAAATGATAAAAACTCTACTTGTTCCATCATGAAATAAATTGCCATAGTTTCTCTTTTTTTGTGTGTGCAACAGACCCAGTCCAATATTTCCTTTGTGAAAGTGTCATACACTGTAAGATTTTTTTAAAAAAGGACTTTATGTATTTATATTTTTCATGTGGTGCTGAGGATTGAACCCAGTGCCTCTCGCATGCTAGGCAAATGCTCTGCCACTGAGTCACAACCGCAGCCCCACTGTGAGATTTTGCTGTCCTTTTGTGACGTGTGATGAGATTTGAAAGAAAGAAAGAATATGGTGTTGCCAGAGTGTTATGGAAGTCATCAGTAGCTAAAGCTGAATGGCAGCTCCGTTGAACTTCAGCACCATAAAATATCAGAAAGAATTGCCCAGGTTGTTTTTGTGATTTGCAAAAATTAGAGATATTGTCCAATTTCCTAACTGCGCGCTTTAGCCAGGAAAACTTTCTCTTTTCTCCAGAGAAACAGATCACTAAGACACACACACACACACACACACACAGACACAGACACACGGACACACACACACATGTGTGTATAGATTTCTAATGAGTAATTGACTCGTGTGCTGAAGGACGCCAAGAAGTCCCCGTATCTGCCATCTACACACTAGAGGCCAGGGAAAGCTGGAGATGTAAACTGGTCCCAGAGAACACGGGGAACTAATGACTCATATCTTACTCTGAGGGCTGGAGAAGATGAGATGAACTGTCTTGGCTCAAAGGCTCAGGCAAGAAGAAAAAGGGGTGACTTCCTCTCTCCTCTGTATTTTGCTTTATGGGGGCCCTCAACAGATCGGATGATAACCACACATATGCAGGAGGAAGATCTACCGAGGTCACAGATTCAAATGCTATTCCTATCCAGAACTGCATATTGCTTAAGGGATTAAAAGGGTACCATTTGTTCATAGATTGACCCAGAAAAAATGTTTAATCTAGGCACACTGGGGTCAGTCAAAGTGACCTAACGAAATTAACCATCACAGTGGGATTTAATGTAATATCTTTTCTCATGTGATATCTAGGTATGGTTGTATTATCTGATCTTCACACAATTATATAATATTTCAGCATCTATTTTTATGATTTTACACTTTAAATAATTTTCTTCACTCTTCTACTCRTTAACTCCAGTCCCTTATGTGCAAACTTCCAGCCCATTTAAAAGTACTTTGAGGATTTGAAAGCTTCAAATGCATTTCTTGAAGATGGCCACAAAAGTCCTCGATTCATACAAAMTTCATTTATTTTGTCTTTTCCAAGATAAGCAAGAAAAGGTATCAGAAAACTCAAGCTGATAACGGAGAGGTGGAGGCATTTTCTAGCTGATATTTCAGTCACAAGATTTAATCTAATATGCCACAAACTGAAGATACCCTGAGCTGTGAAATTTAGAGAAGGTCTAGATTATAGTAGCACCTTCATAATTCCCGAATGGTACCCTTTCAATCCCTTAAGCAATGTGCAGTTTTCTTTACAGAGATAAAAATGTGCTTCAGTCAACAAAGTACAATGAGGCTAATTACGAYAGCTTGGGATGCACATGACATATCTTTTCCATGTAATTTTGCATTTTTCATATTTTGAGCACTTGCTGACGCTACACCACAAATTAGTGCTATGTTGCTTAATGACGGTTCATTGCACATCTGAGATGTTTAAAATTTGGATTTACTTGCTATAGATTGTGGAAAACCACACCGGGAAATGAGGATGAATCCCAAAGCAATTACCGCCCCCCAGATGTTTGGTCGGCTTGATGTGGCCACAAATGACTGGACTGATGGAATATTTTCTACCCTTTGGAGGAAAACGCTGAGAGCTAAGAAAGGTAGAAGATGAATTACAAGTATTATTTTTAACATGCACTTCTAAATAAAATCCTTGGTGGCTGGATAGAATTATTAAAGCAATAGAATCCTCCATATAATACGTTAGTCAAGACTAAGAAGTCATAAATCAGTTTGATGTCTGTGAATGTTGAAATAATGAAATTATTGATTCATATATTTAAACCTCCCATTTGAAAGAATAGTTTTTGAAACAATACTTCTGTATCCCTATGATATCTTAGAAAAAAAAATAGATGGAAAAAGCGGTTAAGGAAAATTTGATAGTATTGAATAAAGTGATTCTATCCTAACTTTTCACTGAATATTTTTAAAATGTTACTTTTAGTTATGTACAGTCAATTTAAAAATACTGATTCTGCTATAAAATCACACAAGAGAAAATGAGCTTCTTTGGAGAGAAAATCGTATCTGTGAAAAATGAAGTCTATATTGAACTTGAAAATTATTCTGTTTAAGATGGACACTGGTGTTGGGTTGTTTAAACAGACAGTAAGGGCAAGTGGCTCAGTTTGAACAATGTCTYGCTGGCTTATGCACGCTGCAAATTGAACCCAGTGTTCTCAGAGTGCAGACTCGGATGGTGGTGTCCATTCTCCTCCCCAGTTTTCTCACTTCTGAGTGAGTAACGGAAGGAAGGCTCAGGAGCAGGAAGAACACAGGAGAAGGACAGCTGTCGGGCTCACCTCCTGAGGCTACCTTCTGCACCACAGGGTCTGTTGAAGGCAGAGCCAATGAGGTGCTCACGTGGAACGCAGCTCATTGAACTAGTATCAGTTGTCAGAAGAGAAATCAAGATGTTCCACTTCTGAAGCGTGCTTAGATTAGAGATTGTTTTTTTTTATTTGTTCCGAGACTCCAGTGTCAATGCAAATCTCATGACGCAAATTCAAAAAGAAGGGCTAGGAGAGGATTTTCTCTCTCTCTTGAAAAGGCAACAGGTGCTTTTTGCTTTCAAAGTGACTTGTGATTAGATCACCATGGTTTTACACCCTTGCTAGTCCAGTGACCTTGATTAGCATTCTCAAAGCATTGTATTTGAAATAGAACATTTCAGCCTTAACTCACTTGGCCTTGGCATCCCCCATCCGACTGGCTCTCCTCTCACTTCTGCTTTGTGGACAGGTGATGGAGGGCCCAGCAAAGGAGACCCCCACCAGGAATCTAAATGTTGCCTTGCCTCTGCCTTCAGACCTCTGGTCTCTCTCTACACTTTGCAGTTAGAAGAAATTTACCCAGTCCCATCATTATAAATGCCACCTCTAAGCTGATGGCTTCCACATTTTAACCTCAGCCATGACCCAACTCAGCAGTTCTGCTGGGCTCTGGACATTAACCTGTGCATACCAGAATTTATTCCACGCCTCTGCCTGTCTTGCCCCACCTGTCTTTCCCAGAGCACTCGTACCCTTCTTCCGTTTCTCCTCTTCCTGCCAGTCCCATTCAGCATCTTACTGCTTGGTATATATTCCCTTGTTTTCATCCCTCTGGACTGCAATAACACRATACCACAGAATGGGTGGTTTATCACCAACAGAGGTTCATTTCTCWGTTTTGGAGGCTGGGARTCTGATATCSGGGYACCTGCAAGGCTGGACYCTMGGGGGGCTTTCTTCTAGGTTGCAGACTGCTAACTCTTTTGTTCTCAAGTGGCAGAAGGAGCAASGGTTCCCTCTCTTTTACAAGGACACCAACCCCATGGCTGAGGCCTCCTCTTTTATGGTCAAATCATCTCTCAAAGTTGTACATTCTAAGACCATCRCCTTGAGAGTTGGGATTTTGAAATATGAATTTTGAGGGGACAAAAACTATTCAGTCCTTTGCATTACCTTAAACTTATTCCTGCTCAGGGTCTTCACACTTTCTAGTTCCACTGTCTGGAAAATTCTATCCCTAGATCTTTCTATTCTTTATTCTCCTTCTGGAATCTTCCATTGACTGTCTTATCTAAAATGGTACCCCCACTCCCTTTACCTGCTTAATTTTTCTCTCATATTTTTTCCTTCTACTTATTTGCTTGACAGTCTTTTCTACCCTTAGTTGAAAGCTCTTTGAAGGCAGGATGTTGTTTTATTTGCCTCAGTATCCCCAGGCCCTAGGATGGTGCAGACCCGAAGAAGGTKCTTTTAATGAGTATGTGTCCAATGAATGAATGATTTTTTAAATTTGATTATGGAACTTATGTAATTGCTATAAAAAAACTGTAGAAGTCCAATGTGCTAAAATTGTTAAAACAATCATTTGGATCAAAGCTTTATTTAAAAGTAATAAAATTATTTAAAATTGCAGTCCTTCTCCCAGCTCTGTAGCTATGTATATATGCACATGTGTGTGTATGCTTTCCCCCGGTGGGGCATTCTAGGGGAGCATATCTGGATAGTTCTTGATGGTCCAGTCGACGCCATCTGGATTGAAAATCTGAATTCCGTTTTGGATGATAATAAAACCCTAACCCTTGCCAATGGTGATCGGATTCCTATGGCTCCAAATTGCAAGATCATTTTTGAACCTCATAACATTGACAACGCTTCTCCGGCTACTGTCTCAAGAAATGGAATGGTTTTCATGAGTTCTTCTATCCTTGATTGGAGTCCCATTCTTGAGGTATGATTGACTCCTTCTTTTGTATAATTACAAAGAAAAACAGACCCTTTAGCATTCTTTGAATGTGTGTGTGCAGATTTTCCTGCAGCTGGCAKCGTAATTGCCTTTTTATGCTAATGTTGATGGAAGACCCTTGAATACACTGCGACATTCAAGCCCTGATTGCCCCTCTCAGGCTTCTTAGTGCTCTCCTAATCACTTTAGATTTCCAGGTAATTGCCAGGCCTACAGTGAATCAATAATCCTGCCAAACTCTGAGGACTGAATAAGTAAAATTTAATTTGACTTCATTCAGGGATTCATGATATTTTTAAAAGGTACTCATTCACATAAAGTTTGGGAACAACCATCTTAGAATACTAACTTGAAGACAATTTGTTAAAATTGCATATAAAGATTTTTAATGAGATTCAGTAGTTATAACATTAATTTTAAGTTTATATTTGGAAATGATATTTTAGATAATCTCTCTTCATTTCATGATTAGGTATATCATTTTATTATCACCAGTCTACTCTAGAATATACCAATTAGGATTAGATTAATAATAAAATGCTTGTTATAATTAGATATTTTATTAAGTTAATCCTATAATGTAAGGCAAGGTTTTTATTAGATAAACCCTGCAGCAAGTCATTTTTTATGTATTTGGTCTAGTTTATTGTTTTCATTTACACACACACATATTTGAATATGATTTTATTGGAAAATTCTTAAAGGAGATATTTATTTTATATTGCCGATATATTTTTGTACTTTCATTTTTATATTTATTATTTATTTTTATATTTATTTTTTATTTATTTTATTAATGTCTTTCCTAAGGTTATACAACTTTGTATTGCAAGGGGTTTAGATTTGGAGAGTATTAAGATGTGAAGGAGTGGAGTGTATGGCCAAGYGATGTTGACATGGTTGACTATGTCACTAAGGATACTCCAAGAGATTTCATATTTTACAATTAAATTACCTGTCCATGGAAGAAACTAAAGAGCAGGGATTCTTGACTCCAGCTTTGCAAAAGTAATTAATAATGACAGATTTTTAAAATAGAGATGATTGGGTCACATCCCCATTCTACCAAATTAGAATGCTGGGGAAGAAGACCYAGCTTCTTGTTTCTAAAAGCAAAATAGATCTTTCTATCTTTCTTTCTTCCTGTTTTTTTTTTTTTTAAATTATTTCTAGTAGTCATAAACTCTGAGTGAAAAAGTATTTATGTGCTTTTTCTCAAATACTTCAATTTCACAAGGGTTTTTTGAAAAATATTTTTAAAGTACTAGGTAATAAATATTTAGAGTTTGCTGCTATAAAATAAGCTCCTATTACAGGCCCTACAGATTGAGGCTGATTAAGACCTTTACATTGATGGTATAGCTACCTAATAATATTTTTCTATGCTTTTAAAGAAGGGAATTTTTCTCTTGGACATGATTAGGAAGAAATGCGATTCACCAGCAATACGCTGAAAATCTTGACAGCAGTTCAGGCCGGCTCAGAGAGAGTTACCAGCAGGCAGACCATGCAGCAGGGTCTCCTCAGCTGCAGGGAGACAGGCTGGTTACCTGTCCTAGTGAATGTCTGGTTTTGGTCCCATCAACTAGAAAGTGTTATATTTTGGTTGAGGTGGAATCATGGTAAATTCATGAATTAATGGATAATTCAGAATGGGCATTTTATTGCTTCTTTTCAGAGACCTCTGTTGTTTCTTGGAGCATTGAGCTGTTTGTTCTCTTGACTGAAGAGAACTTGCCTCATCTTAACAAAATGTTACTTGTCAAGTGATGTTTTATGAATGACATGTACTTTCTTAGCATGGGGTTCCCCAAATAACTGAATTTTTCCACTTTCTTGAATATACTTCAGTATTTTTCCGTGTTGTTCATTGATTAAACGTGAAAAAATTAAAAGAAATGAGGAATTGTGGTAAATTTTTGCTTCCCATTTAAAAATGTGGGTGAATTTCCTTTGCTCATTTTTTTTTTTTTAATTTCCTTTCCCTTCTGAGTTATTTCCATGAAGATACCTGCCTCCTCATCTGCTTCTAGCATGTTTTTGAATCAGTTGAAGGCGGTTTCACCAGCTTAGCCTCAAGGCCTGGGCTGTTGTGTAGTGTAGTGCTGGTGGTGTGGATGCACACTCTGGGTTTGAGTTCTGGCCTGGCCACCTACCGACTGTGGGATGCTGAGCTATTACTGGATCTTCCTGGGTTTCTTTCCTCTTCTATAAGAGGGGCATAATAATAGCTCCTACCTCACAGAGTTGCATCGAAGATTAAATGAATTAATACGTGATAGAGTTTATAGCAAGACCTGGCACATCCTAAGTGCAGTATGGCCATTGGATATTATTATTGCTAATATAATTGCTATTATTATGATTATTATGATTGACATTTGTCTCCAAGTGGTCATTTTCCGGTTGCTAATAGATGGAATTCATGTACTAATTTGTGACCTCACAGGGATTTCTTAAGCAAYGCCCGCCTCAAGAAGCGCAAGTGCTGCGCCAGCTGTACACGGAGTCTTTCCCAGAGCTGTACCGCTTCAGCATTCAGAACCTGGAGTACAAGATGGAGCTGCTGGAGGCCTTCGTGATCAGGCAGAGCGTGGACATGCTGCAGGGCCTGATCCCTCCCAAGGTGCGCTGCTCCACTTTTGGGAGCATTTCTTTCCTACTGGCTGAGCCGCACTGTGTAGATTTGGTGAGAGAGAGAGAGAGAGAGAGAGAGAGAGAGAGGGCTGTTTGAAATGTGGATCCGCCTACTTTGTCTCTTCTCTCCTCATCTCATCTCCACCTCCCCACTCCCCACAAAAAGCAAGCCATGGATTCACAATTTTGCTGCTGGTTGATAAAAGTCATCTAGTAAAATATCCCTAATTTATTAAAAAAACAAACAGCAACAACAGACACCAACCAAACAAGCAACAACAACAACAACAAAAACAAAAACCGGGTGTTTGTTCCTAGAGAGAAGTTCCTTATTTGTCGCCAGCTGTATTCATCTTTCCCTTGTTCTTGTGTTGGGGGGAAGGAACACTGACCCTTTCCAGGTGCACTGTTTTCACTGAGCCAAGTTTTGGTTTGACAACCGAGTGACCCAGTACCSGCGTGCTTCTTGCCTCCCCAGGAGCAGGGCGGGGAGCTGAGCCCCGAGCACCTGGGCCGGCTGTTCGTGTTCGCGCTCATGTGGAGCGTGGGAGCCGCCCTGGAGCCGCACGCGCGCCGCAGGCTGGAGCTCTGGCTGCGCGCCCGGCCGCCCGCGCTGCCCCTGCCGCCGGAGGGCCCCGGCGACGGCATGTTCGACTACTACGTGGCGCCCGATGGTGAGCTCCAGCTTATCAAGAGCAGCCTGCCAAATATTTTAAAAGCAGGAATGGAACCCTCCGCAGTAAAGATGGAAAGGTTCATGTGCAAGGAAAGCGCATTATTGTTTCTCTTAAAAAAGGTTTGCTTAGTGTTCTAAATGCACATTTCCGCCCTGAAGGAAAATTGCAAAGATCTCCCAAGCAGATCCATTTCAACCATTCACTCGGCATAATCAGCAATTTACGTAAAAATCACAAAGGCTGAAGAACRTTTCTTACTCAGTATGGGTGTTCATATTTATATATGTTTTAAGATTATTTATACATGTGTATATGTATAGATGAAGTACATATTTTTATACAATATGTCTTTTATATGTATGTATATACATAGCATAAAAGCTGGTGAGATCTGACATTTTTAAATGATTAATGATTTCAGGCACATGCACTCTCTGTTCTGTATTTCTACATACAGTATTCTTGAAAACCTATATATTTTGTAAAAGAGGATTTTAAGATTGTTGCTAACATTGCCACTTTGGCATAATTCCACGGGAGTTTTGACCAAGCTAACTCATACTTGTATGATGATATCTCTAATCTTAATGATCTTTATCTTATGGGGAGTATTTGGAAGATGTCCTCATGAGAGTTCAAGGGTGTCTGCTAATTTCAGGTAGGAGTTAAATTACTATTAGAAAAATGTGACCATTCTCTGTTCATCTCAGGTACCTGGATGCACTGGAACACACGTACCCAGGAATATGTGTATCCATCTGATACTACCCCAGAGTACAGCTCCATCCTGGTGCCAAATGTTGACAATGTGAGGACTGACTTTCTAATTAAAACCATTGCTAAACAGGGCAAGGTATGGCTTTTAAACTTTTGTTTAAAAAAATAGCCCTAGTTCATAATTATTTTTCACGAAAATAGCATATTTTTTAAAAGGTCCCTTGAAAACTTAAAACATACTGCATCTATTTATTTATTTATTTTTTTGGTGCCTGAGAACTGAACTCAGGGGCACTCAACCACTGAGCTGCATCCCTGCCCTACTTTGTATTTTATTTAGGGACAGGGTCTCACTGAATTGCTTAGCACCTTGCCATTCATTGCTGAGGCTGGCTTTGAACTCGAGATCCTCCTGCCTCAGTCTCCCAACCGCTGGGATTATAGGCATGTGCTACCATGCCTGGCCTGAATTTACTTTTAGAATGGTTTCTTGTAGGGGTTCTGTGTTTGGGATTGGGGTCCTGATGACTTCATGGCTGTGGCATGCTTTGTGCCCGGAAAGTTTCTGTGCCAAGTCATRGGAACGCCCTCCCATGTTAGAGTCTTATCAGCTTGGACCTTAATCTTAGGCACATAACTCCTGGGAATAAAGGAACTTGCTTGCTTGATAACTACAATGTTTCACCAAGCTCTGGTGCTCCTGGAATTGCCTACCTAACAGTAACTTCAGACAATGGACCTTCTTGAGAACTGTACAYRGCTCCTGAMATTGCATATTGTAACTGTRAGATGTAACTGCAGAATAAGTAACCTTAATGATACTCTAAACAACAATGTGGTTATGGCACTAATGACCTAATGTAACCTATTGGCATAAATAAACTTGGACAAAGGGCCACTCTGCCACCTCCCATGCCTCTGCACCTTGTCTCTCTGTCTCTTTTTTGATTATTATTTTTGATTATTATTTCTTTTACTGTTTAGAATAAACGAAAATATTGTATAAATGAGTGAACAGCTTTTATTATTTCCCAGGACAATATTAGAATTAAATAGTCCTTGTTCATAATTATTTCTCATGTATTAGTTGAGAGAAAGTGAATTTCGGCTTATTTATTTATTTATTTWTTTTCCAAAGAGAARTCCTTCCTTTTTGATTGTTGACCTTGAGGTTGCTGTAACAAAACACCAAGGCCTGGGTGTCTTAGACAACAGCAGTTTTTCTCACTTTTCTGGAGACTGGAAGTGTGGGATCAAGGTGTTGGCAGGATTGGTTTCTCAGAGACCTCTCTCCTTGGCTTGCAGATGGCACTTTCTCTGTGTATTCCCATGACTTTCTGTGTGCATGTGCCCACTGCTTTATGTGTCCACATGGCCTCTGGTTGTGAGGACACTCATTGGATTGGAGTAGGCCACTCTAACATCCTCATTTTGCCATGTTATCTGAGACACCTCTTGAGAGTCTCTATATGGTCATGTTCTGGGACATAGGAGATGAAGGCTTCTACATGTGAATTTTGAGGATCGGGGTGGGGGACTCAATTCCACCCATAATCATCCTTTTATTTCCTTTTACTTCTTTCTCGGCTCCTTTTGTTGTAGGCTGTACTATTAATTGGTGAACAAGGAACAGCCAAGACTGTCATCATCAAAGGATTTATGTCAAAATATGATCCTGAAAGTCACATGATCAAGAGTCTGAACTTTTCTTCTGCCACCACTCCACTGATGTTTCAGGTACTGGCTCTCTTGTATTACATCTGTGATGAGTTTTGGAGGCTCAGATCTGTTCTTCTGCCTGTGCCCACTGAACCTCATCTGAATTTTCATAGCCGTATATATCCCCTATGTATGTCCTCCATCATCTCTATTATTCAATGCAATAAAACTATTCTCTAGCTAGATTGTAATATCTAATCTTACACTGTGGAGAAATACAGTTTATATAATTTGCCATAGTCCTCAATACTGTTTATAATACCAATGTAGAAAAGCCTGTGAAAATGAAAAAATCCCCAAACGAAGAATATGTCATTTATTCTCCCACATAATCTACTTCCTCTCTCTAGAATCTGCTTTTCTAGGTTTATTACTATTTTTCTAGCCTTTAGATTCATAGATAATCTTTGATGAATCTTTCTTGAATCCAAGGCTATCAGTTTACCTGAAGAAATGCTTTACACAGTTCTTCATTTTTCTTCATGTCCCCTGTTCACCTCTACAAAATCTAACTCTCCATAATCCACCCCAGGGCATCAGCATGGAGGAATCCTGAGTTGTTTTGGTTCAAGTCTAATTCTCTTCCATTCTCCCAAACTCTGTTTCCTAAATTGATACATTTGTTTTGTTATTACCTGACTTAACATCCTACCATGGTTTCCATAGTCAATTCCCACAAGGTATTTTAGAATTTTAGCAGATGAAATATTATACATCATATTGTATATCATATCATATATCATATCATATCATATATCATATCATATCATATCATATCATAAGAGTGACAGAAACTGCTAGGACTGACCTGGGTTTGCATTGTCTGACTTTTTTTTTTTTTAATTTTTATCCTGGTCTAAAATTGTATAAGATTTTATTGAAACTAGGGAGGAAGTTCTGAAAATCAGCTTATGCTTTAATCATTTGCAAACTATCACACATATTGTTGTAAGAATATTAATATGTTATCACAAAGACAGGCTTCGCAAATTACACATAGAAAGGGAATATTTAGGGGAATCCAAACTTAAAGAACCTTGCTTTTGATGAACTTTGTTGTTCTTTAGTTACTGCAATGAAAATATCAGAGCAATGAAAATTGTTAAGGGCATGGCTAAATCATGACTTTCCATCACTTAATTCAACTGGTGACAGCAGAGTGCCAATRCACTGAGACCATTGATTAAATTTCTAAATTAGACTGTCAATTTCATCATACTCTTCTGCTGGAGATGGGAGTTTCCAGTACTGGCTAGCCTTCTATCAAATGAATACCATTTATACAGAGTCTCAGTGGGAAGGTCTGTTTGAAAGGTCAACCCTGAGTTATAGACTTGGCAGTGGTATTGTTGTGTTTGGGGAGCAGCACATTAAATTATCCTAGGCTGGCAAGGTGCTACCGTGTACATATTTTATTGATACTGCTTTACATTTAAAGAACTTTTGTTAGCTTTACTTTAGGACAATACTCTGTTTAAAGGCTATAATTATAACCTTATTTAAGGATGAAGTTTTAAAAAATCAAAATGTGATCTTTTTCATCATGTAATGTAATTATCTAGCTATTAACACTTCTGAGACTGTAGTAAATCTTTAAGCCGACAAAATAAATTTGATAGCAACTATCCAGAGTTAGTGCAGACCTCAGGGGTTAAGGGCATAGTCTCTCCCAAGACTGCTCTACTGCAGACACCAGCCACAAGCTCAGGGGCTCCCAGGCCACCCAGACTTCTGCCCAAGTATCTACTTGTTTGGTTGTCCCATGAAACCTTCAGTTTTGATAATTTACTAGCATGACTTACAGAACTTAGGAAAGCACTATTCTTACAGTTTTTTTTTTTGTTAAATAAAAAGGATAAATATCAATAGAGCCAAAGGAAAAGGTTTATAAGGAAAAGTTTAGGAAGGTCTCAAATGCAAGCCTTCCTTGTCCTCAGGATGCATTACCTTCTGGGCATATTATGTACATCATCAATCACCAAAGAAGTTCACTAGAACTTCCGTGTCCTGAGTTTTTATTGGGGTCTCATTACGGGGGCATGCTTGATTGAATAATTGGCCCCATGATTGAGTTCAAACTTCAAGTCCCCTTCCCTCCCAGTTCAAATCCCAACCTTGTAATCCCATGGTTGGTCTGTCCAGCTCAAAATTTGAGGGCTTACGTAGTTTTTTCACCGTGTGAGGAGTTTGTTTGAAGAACAAAGATGTTCCTATTATTCAGCAAATTCCAAGGTTCTCTCCAAGGTTTGAAGATTCTCTCCCAGGAGCCAGAACAGCTGAAGTCTTTACTATAGGATGGGGCCTACTCACTGTGTTTTTGTGCCAACTCTGGTGTTTGACCACTATAAAGTAGGGAAGATTGGTGGTCTGTGTCTCTGAGGTATTAATTTCCTAGAAAATGCCACATTATCCAGAGAACCTCTTTATTATTTGGCATACAAGTTAATAAACCATACAGTAAATTTCTAGGTGTGATTAGAGGGATAGTAAAGCAGGCTTTGGAAACAGAATCCATCTCATTAGGTTCCTTAGCACCTCAGCCATGCAAACCCTGTCCATCCGGTCCTGGGTGTTCTGTGGAGCAGTAGCACCACTCTTTCTTTTCCTGCTCAGAATCATCTCATCTGCTGTGCAGTGCCTGAGCCCATTCCGACTGCTGAGCTTCAAGCTCTCTATTAAGCGAGACTCATTAGTTTTAGAAAGCTTTCAATTAGCCAAACTGCTGTAATTAACTTTCTCTCTATAATTTTCAGTCATTCATACTAAACAGGGCTGATGGCGTAGAGAATTTGTCTCTGTCTCCCACTTATCTGGAGCTCAACCAGATGGAAATTGTAGATGAGAAAACAGATTACTGTGGTCCCTCCTCGGTCACCATGGCAACTGTCCAAGCAAGGACCCCTGTGTGTCACTTGCCAGGTTGTTTTCACTCTGTTTTTACCACAGTGTCATTTTCACATCTATTTTCCATGGGAGAGCTGTGTGTGCCTCTTTGTTCAATTTACTTCCACTGTCTCAGATTAATAATAGCATTCTCTGTCATTATTAAAAGTGTCTTGTTAGGACAAAAAACAAAACAAAACAAAACAAAAACCCAAAATACAAAACAAAGAAAAACAACAAACTGTAGTCACCCTGAATTCCCTTTTGCGTAAATTAATTTGTTTTTATTTTTAATTTTTTAAAGAGAGAGATGACACTTTTTTTTTGCAAAACTAATATTGTTTTAATTATTTGTTTTCTATATTTGAAAGTAAGTCATATGTACCTTTAGAAATTTAAACAACACAGAAAAGTAAAATAAAGAAAGTGATAGTTACTCAAGAGAATTTCTGAGAAGATTGATGTCTTCTGAAAACTAACCTAACATCTTGAATACAACAACCAGCTTACAAATGGTTGCATAGCCATACATTTTGAGTTTTTAAAAATGAGACTCATAGAGCCTGGAAGAAAATTCCAGGGTTTTTTTTTCCTGGAATTAGAACCATTCTTTCAAAGGATATTTTATGCAAAAATATTAATCTATAAGCAGGTAACCATGGATTTGCTTTGGTGACACTGGTGCTGGGCTCCTAAAGCCCCTTTCAATATCTTTGCTTCCTGCAGGGGTCCCTGTGGTTATAGGAATCCTTTTGGCTCTTCAGAGCACAATTTGAAGACTAGATTGCAGAGGAGAATCCTAACAGATAATATGTGAAAGTATTTTTCATGGTAAAGCTCTCTTAAAACGTCAGTGTTTACCGTTCCTATTAATGCACTGCGGCAGGGAGAGTCAGGTACTCTCTGAATTCAGTCACTGGCTGGTGGAAACAAAGCCAAAAACCAGGTCCCCATTTGCTCTGCTGTGCTTTCCCCGGGGCCTACCCCCAGGGGCTGTTCTCTATCCATGTTAATCTCCAAAAGGCTGTCTTGCCACTTAATGTACTTATTTTAAGCTTCTGGCCATGCATTATGATATTCCTATTTTATTTTTTTTAAGTCAGATCTTACATTTCAAGATCACTATTGAGCATTTTAAACTTTACTAACGTAAGGTGGTTTTCATTTGGTTTCAGTGAGTTACAATAAAACCGGAAATTATTATTTAGGTAGTAGATTCTTAAATAAAGAGCAGAATTTCTCCATTTTTATCCTTTAGCTAATAGTACATAYATGGAAACCTAAAATTAAGTATGCTTTATATTTCACTTTAATTGTATATAATATTTATGGAAAATGACTTAGGTGCTTGTATATAGAGTTTCACATAGCAATAATAAAATGCCTTTATTTTTTTAATAATGTATCAAGCTCACCAAGACCTTTCTCATACATCATTTCTGTATAATGCTCTGTTGTATGTACCTGTACATGTCTGTATGATTTACATAGCTTTATATACACTGTTAATTCTGGGCTCTGATTCAGAAATATCATGAAACATGAAATCATAAAGCTAATAAGAGGGAGAAGCAGTTTAACCTTTTGGTTTCCCAACTTTAAACCCAGGCAGAGCTGCTAGGAAAGGCCACCAGGTTGTGCAGGTATTGTGCTGTGCCCTGCTTGGAGACAGTGTGTGAGTGGTGAGTCCAGGAGCCTGGGCAGAGCACAGTCTCTTCAACTGTGAGAGGCTCTGCCCACACCCCTCACAGGGTTGTGCTTTTCCCAGTGTCTGGTTAGGGGAATAGACTCATGTGCAAGCTTAACTGATGGGCCATGTGCCTCATCTTCTGAGGACCATAAAGCCCAGAGGAGAAGGGTATTTATTTCTGTAGAGGATCATAGAGATGAGGCCAATGAAAGAGCTGGTCATTGTTTTACGGGAGTTTTATGAATTTTTAAGAATTATAAAGACTGAATTGTCTATTAAGAAATTAATTCAGAAAACTGAATTGGTTCTAGGTTTTGAACTCCTAGCTTTGAGCAAAAGATGGGAACTTTCCTCACTTCCATTCGTAAAGCTACTTGGCTTTTTAACTGACTAGTTTTTACTTTCTTAAAATGCCACCATCCCAGTTGGGGGTGGTATTGGTACCCCATGTATGTGGAGATAGACAAGGAGAGCAGAACCCCGTTTAGTCTCTAGATTGCATGAGGTGATGTTGTGCTGGCCATGATTCTTCAGGTTCACGGAAGCATAGATTGACCATAGCCCAGTCTTCTGTTATAAATTTCGATTTTTAAAATACCAAAAGCTGGGTTGAAGGAAGTGATGGGGAAGTACGTTCATCTACGACAATATTTCACAAAGTGTGTTTGGCTGATGCTCATCTTAAGAGGTTTTTCTGGTTGAGAAATGGCTACTGTAGGCGTGCATAGTGAGGTTCCCAGAATGAACACTGTAAACCAGCGTAGGAGGTAAGCATCATTTCATGGCGTGCGTTTTATTTTTAACTGAGTAGAAATTAACTAAGACCTAGAGGGACCAGTACCAAGAGATGAGGAAGGACTCCCTAGAAACAAGACTGGAGAGGTAAGCCACTGACTGGCATCTGGTGTTCCTTCAGAGTCAAGAATGGGGAACCCCGGGAGGGTTCCGTTGCCCTTTAGGAAGTTTATTCTGGCTGCAGAGTGGAGAACAAATTGGCAGGGAGATGGCAGCACTCAGAACTGAGAGGAATCCATTGCAATTATTCCTCAAGAGGGAGGTTGGGCTGGACCCAGATGGTAGAAGAGGGAGCACAAATAGAACACGGCTGCTATTGCTTTGGGTTAGGAAGTGGAACAGATGGGACGTGTGGTTGGTTGAGTGGATGTTGTTGGAGGAGAAGCCAGGAAAGAAAGAAAAGTCTAAGAGGACTCTGGGCTCCTTGTGTTTATTTACTATGGATCAAATATTTATGATAGGCACCTAGTACCAGACACCTCCAGGCCCTGCGGCTGTGAGAGAGTAAGATAGACAAATAGTGACCAAATAAACAAATGTACTTACTTGGTTTTGTTAACTGCCTATTGGTTCATACTGCCAAAACAATGCATCCAAGAGACTGGGAAGAATGTGGGTGGTAGAATACTATAAAGGTCCACAATAATTATTTAGATGGATTGTATTAGTCTGTGTCATTATAATGAAATACCCGAGGAAATGAAATTATTATTATTATTATTATTATTATTATTATTTTAAATTGGTGGTTCTGGAGGTTCCAGTCCAAGATTGGGTAGCCCCATGCTTTGGGTTTTTGGTTATGGTACGTGAGGAAACAGACTGCTTACATCATGACTTAGCAAGTAGATAGAGACTGAGAAACCGAGGTCCCCCAATTCTCTCCAAGGGCCCAGTGACTATGGCATATGGGCCTCCCACTAGGCTCCACCCCTTAAGCTTCCACAGCACATCCCCACAGTGTCACTGTGAGCCAAGCATTTGACATATTTGACATTGGGAAATACTACCCATTTTCAAATCATAACAATGATTTATTTGGGGAGGCAGAAAATTCTAGATACATTATAAGTTGCACGATATAGATATCTTGTCTAACTCAGCAAGACATATCTATAGCTGGTAATAGGGATGACAATTTTAAGAGGCTTTCTGTGAGAAAGACACATAATTGAAAAAAGTTTGGACAGAAGGAGATACTTTGAAAACCAACATCAACCTCATACTAGAAAGAACTTAGCAATGTTAGATGTGGAATGTTTGGACTGGACACCGGGGCGGGTGGTGCCAACCTGTGCTGAGCAACCTGGAGGTGCAGATGTGGTGGGCAAGAGGAGTTCACATTTGGAGGTGCTGATTTGTCATAGTACCATAGTACAGCCAAGTGGGGAAGTCCATTTGGAGCTACTAGTCCAACCATATGATATTCTGAACACCTCCATTAGAACACGTGATCATTGTGGTCCAGGCCTTCAAGAGGCCTCACCGGACCTCAGAGTTCATTAGGTAACCACAGAATGGACAGCAATTCCCAAAATAGAAAGAAGCTGCAACTTCTAGTCCCACAAGCTACTCCATTTTTCTCTTGCTTTTATTTTTGTTAGGTTTTTCTCTCTCTCTTTTAAATTTTTTATTTTTTAGTTGTAATTGGACACAATACCTTGATTTTATTTATTTATTATTATGTGGTGCTCAGGACCGAACCCAGGGCCTTGCACATGCTAGGCAAGTGCTCTACCGCTGAGCCAAAACCCCAGCCCCATTGTTAGGTTTTCTCTTTATATACAAAGAGATATCCTGTGTCTGTGTGTGTGTGTGTGTGTGTGTGTGTGTGTGTGTACATCTTACTAGTCATTTCCTGTCATTTCGAAGGAATTAGGATCATAATAAAGGGGAAGAAAGTGTGCCGATAGGAGGGTATTACTCTGTATTTTCCTAATTATTGCACCTGTGGCTTTTTAGCTCACAGGGGGCACCCACAAGACAAAATCTTCACATGCCAGAGAGTTCTCATTAATAGACATGGAAATGCCTGGAAGGCTCTGGTTTGCCATAGGAGGTTGTCAGGAGATTATTAATTGCCTTATGCATTTAAATTCATTGAAAAACAGAGCTAAATTTAGCTGAGTACATTAAACAGTGTGTTTCTATGTCAGGGGAATATGAAATTCTTTTTTGCTATTGTGCTATTTCATGGGAGATTTGTTTTGTAATTGAATGAGTTGTGATATATTTACATATCTTTCTATTAAAAATGATGAAAAATATTCACAGCTTTTGCTATTATTCATTAAAATAATGGTGGAAGCTTACACAATTTGCTATTACTGTGAAGATTCCCAAAGATAGATATATAGGGATTTGCTTATATCTTGGTGAATTTTGTGGTCATATCTTGTTATAATTCATTTTTAACTGGTTTATTCTTTATCATGAAATAAAACTTTTGGATAGGAGTGGAAAAATTCACTTTATCTCAATATACCAATGCTTCCTCCTCTATTTCTATATCATCTCTAACCTGATTTAAAACCATGCATGAGGGCTGGGGTTGTGGCTCAGTGATAGAGCACTTGCCTAGCATGTTGAGGCACTGGGTTGGATCCTCAGCACACACACATAAATAAATAAAATAAAAGCCATTGACAATAAAAAAAATATTTAAAAGAACATTAAAAATGCATGAATAGATTTCACAGTGGTAAGAATGACATGAGGGTTTTAAGATTTTCAGCTTCTAGAGTCTGAGAACTTTGATGTCCTTTCTGTTCTCTTTTCTGTGCTGGACTCTTGATTACTCAGTTAATATATTCTGATTGATTTCCAAACTATGTTGTAGTACCATGGAAGTGAAAATATAAAAGTCTGAGGTTCTTCTCCTACAAACTAGTTACCCCTTCAAATGTCCCTTTCAATCAGTTTTAATTCTTTCCCACATTGCTTCTTAGAGAGCACAGTGCACCTCTCCTTTCTACCACCTTATCTTAGATTAGCAGAGAGAGGGCTTTGTGCTCCATGTTGGGCTGGGGCATGAGAAGTGATACAATGTCATTGCCTCTGTCCCAAAGCAGTGGATCTGTGTCATTTCTGACTACATGCAGAAGCCAATTGGCTTCCTTCTCAGTGAAGAGAGCAGGCTTCTGGCCATGACAGGCTGTGCACTTCTGTTTAACAGGATCTCTAATCATGGGGGAACTTTTTGCAGGGCTGTGGCCTTTGAGTAATGGGGGTTACATGTCATTAACATAGGTATAGTAAGAGAAAAGTCAATCCTTATAAATGGAAAGAGGACAGTTGAGGTTGTAGCTCAGTGGTAGCGAACTTGCCTTACATGTGTGAGAGGCGCTGGGTTTTCCTCTCAGCACTGCATATAAATAAATAAAACAAAGATCTATTGACAAATAAAAAGATAAATAAATGGATAGAAGAATCTTATTCAAAATTTATATTGGTTAGTATTTACTTACTCTTTAAACCAGGTTTCCAAAGGTTGTGAACATTATGCCAAATAATTTAGATACTTTAAGACTTGTTTGCCAATATTAACGGGGAAATTTTGACTTTTTCTAAGTAATTTCTGACATTTCAAAGGTTGTCAGGTTTTGATAATTGGCCATGTCTCAGGGAGACTCTCACAGACACTTCTGGTGGCTTTCTTGTTGACAGAGGACCATAGAGAGCTATGTGGACAAACGCATGGGTACCACGTATGGCCCTCCTGCGGGAAAGAAGATGACTATTTTCATCGATGATGTGAATATGCCAATAATCAATGAGTGGGGAGATCAGGTATATGGATCCTATTGTGCATTTTGTTTCTTTAATTCAGCACTATTCTTTGTTCTTGGATGTATAAGTGTTTTTTCTTCCTTTTCAACATGCAATTCCTGAGTTCCAGTAAACTTCAACCTTTGGAAAAAGTCAAGGAGCTGAGGCATTTTAATATTGAAAGTTGTCTTTTTTAGGTTACTAATGAGATAGTTCGGCAGCTAATGGAACAAAATGGATTCTATAACTTAGAGAAGCCTGGAGAATTTACCGGTATCGCAGACGTCCAGTTCTTGGCAGCCATGATCCATCCTGGGGGAGGACGCAATGATATACCCCAGAGACTCAAGAGGCACTTCTCCATATTCAACTGCACGCTGCCCTCGGAGGCGTCCATGGACAAGATCTTTGGTAAAATGAGTGTCAGTGGGTCCTGGGGAGGGAGGATTATGTTTCTATAAGAAAATATGCACCCAGGGAGGTGGCACTGGATGAATCCTTGCCATAGAGCCCAACCACTTTCTGGTCATGTTTTGTTTTTTCACATTTGTTATAGATATGTTTAAAAGTCAAGGAGCTGGGATATTTTAATATTGAAAGTTGTCTTTTTTAGGCTACTAATGAGATAGTATGACAGCTAAGGGAACAAAATGGATTCTATAACTTAGAGAAGCCTTATCGATATGTACTGAACTGGATGCCTCAGGAGATCTTTTCTATTTGGTTTATTTATTTTTTAACTTAACTGTTGCCAGCTTCTTAAGCCAGGGGTGAAACATTAAATGAACATGGAGATGAGATGGTTTCCTCCTGAAAGGTCTGGCTGTTGTAATTCCATATTAACTGTGCTTGTAGCTGATACTTTAACCAATCCAGTTTGCCAAAATAAATAATGATACACAGAGCAGTAAGAGCCCTAATCTGATCATCAGAGAAAATGGCAGAGTTATAATCAATTAATACTTAAATATGGAGTGCTTCAGACATAATTTAATCGAGGAACCACTAGCCCAATATATATCCAAACACATTTAACTGAGTAATGAAAACACATTTGTGACCGATTTTGGAGTTATTCTTTACAGAAAAAGGGTGTAAAGATCTAAACACCTCCCCGTTAGGTATTAATTTACAATTTCTGAAACTGCTGTTGAGAAAAAACTCATTAAGATCATCCTAATTAATTTCTGGCAGAGTGAAATGTCAGGTTAGCACCCCGGGCTATAGACAGTGGCAGTGTGCTGCCTTCGTTCACAGCAGTGAGCAAGGTTTGGAAACCAAATGATATTTGAATTCTCTAAATTTGGGTAAAGTAGAGTAGATTAGGAAGTATGACTGCTATCACTTTTAATTAGTCTTTATTGCCTGGAAAATTTTACACATAAAGTCAGTTGATACATTTTATAATGCAAGGGAACAATAGAATGGAGACGTCTTAGAGGGCTTATGGAGATGTTTTTATAAATCTTTTTTTTTTWAAATTAATTAATTAATTATTTTTTAATTTTTTTTTATTAGTTACACATGACAGTACAATGATCTTGACAATTCATACCTTAGGATCAAATGGGGTATAATTTCTCATTTTTCTGATTGTACAGGTTGCAGAATCACATTGGTCATACAGTCACCTATATACATACAGCCATAATAATGTCTATTTTATTCTGCTGCCCTTCCTATCCCCCCTTCCCCTCCCCTCCCCTTCCATCACATCTCTCTACCCAATCTAATGTGACACACCTCTTTTTTTTCTCCTCACAACATCATACATGTATTCTGTATAACGATGAGGGTCTCTTTCCATCTTCCTATTTGTCATTGTCACTTATTTAATAATGTTGAATTAGCACAACCAGAGGTTTCAGCAATCCGTCTGCCTGCCTGCCTTCTCTCCTCCTTCCTTCTGTGCTGGTGATCAAGCTCAGGGTCCCGTATTTGCTTTGCAAATGCTCTACCCCTGAGCTACATCCCCAGCCCCTCAGCAGGTTTTATTGATCAACTCTTCAGTATTTTGAATGCTGACTGACTTAAACCTGTATTTGTGTGTGTGTGTGTATTTGAAAAAGCAACATATCAATAATTAAAATCTTCTTAATATACAGGCATCTATTAAAGTGTATAATGATATTTGTGCAAATTCTCCATTATAGTGTTTTTCATTTTAATTGGGTTTCTTTAAATGATCTGTCAGAACATTATGACTTCCCTTTCAGGAGTGATTGGGGTAGGCCACTACTGCACCCAGAGGGGTTTCTCAGAGGAAGTGAGAGATTCAGTGATGAAGCTGGTGCCCCTGACACGTCGACTGTGGCAGATGACCAAGGTTAAAATGCTCCCCACTCCAGCGAAATTCCATTACGTGTTTAACCTCCGAGATCTTTCTAGGATCTGGCAAGGAATGCTGAACACTACTTCAGAGGTCATTAGAGAACCAGCTGTAAGTGACACTGAAGAAAGAAAAGCAGATAACATTGCTATTTATCATACATCCTAAATATGTTTATTAATTTAATTTGTATGAAAATATTTTGGATCATTTAGCATGCATATTCATTTCTTCACTGTTTTTCAGCTAACATGAATAAGGAAAAAGGTAAATATGTCAGAAAACTTCAGTTTAAAGTTCCAACTAATTAGGTTTATGTTTATGGAAATAGTATACACAATTGTTTTCTGGTGATTGAAATAAAAGAAACAATTGAGTTTTTTTCCCATCCTAAGACTTTTTTTTAAACTACATAATGGAAATAATCATTATTGATTTTACCCTATAATAGTCTTCATATTTTAAGCTTGACATTTTAACTTTAAAAAGTAATTATCCTTATAAATAAACATTCAGAGTGAAAAGAAACCATTTTGTTGTTAATCACCCATGAGCTTTCCTCCTGGTAATAGATGTACTAAAAGAACTGTGCATGTTGGTAAAATTGAAAATAGGCAGCAGAGTTGAAAATTCATTTAATACAAAAATGAGTGTGTGTACATATACTTGAATCTGACGGTTCCCAGTACAGGGCTTTCCTTCAAACTAAGAGCGCTATGTAAAAATCCAGTATGCCTTTTCCTCAAAGTGAGGCCCTGTCACAGGCAAAGGCAGGATTGGACTCTCTTCCAGCCTTTCTGGAGCCAAGGAAGTAAGTTAAGTAAGTGGGATTTAGGGGACTCCCCTCCATAAATTCAGAGTCGAATAATCGAAAATACTATCATTAAGCATTCTGTGTTGACTGTTAAAAAAACTCTCAATTCTGTCCCAGATGCTTGCAAATAGGTAATCACACTTGCTAACTCTTGAAGACTAGATATTTTTGGGGAAAACTCACAATCCTTTCAACAAGAGAATTGAGAGTCAGTTTAGCAACTGTGAACATGTTGATTTTTCCCCCCATAGTTATTGACAAGTTAATGGAGTTGTGGAATGCAGTTCCACAAGGACCGCTGTATCTGATAACCATTTTTGGTGCTTATTTTCAGTCAGCTAAAACAATTTCAGCAATTGGTATTGTGAACTTTTGTCTTAACTGCATCACTGAATATAGTTTAATAGACTTTGTTCTGCTAACCAAATAGCATTTTATCATTATTGATAAAACCCTCTAATCTGCAAAATGTTACCAAGGTAAATAATATCCACTAGTCTTTTTTTTTTTTTTTGGTACCTGGAATTGAACTCAGGGGCATTCAACCACTGAGCCAAATCCCCAGCCCTATTTTGTATTTTATTTAGAGACAGGGTCTTACTGAGTTGCTTGGTGCCTTGCCATTGCTGAGGCTGGCTTTGAACTTGAGATCCTCCTATCTCAGCCTCCTTGGCTGCTGGTGTCACAGTATGTTCCACTGTGCCTGGCTCTACTTGTCTTTTAAATCAAATAATGAGCTTACACAAATATTTGTTATTTTTCGCTAGGGACAGAAAACTTGTACAACTAATTTCTTCAACTTTCAGTTAACTTTGGGGCCCTGGATTATCTGTATTAGGTGATTCCTTTGTTCAAAACCCAGATTTTCTGCAACAAATTTTCTTCACTTGTGTTAACTAAATATGCCATTGTAATAGGTCAGTTGTACACAAGAAAATTGTTCATAAATTGTATTTTATACTGTATTTTGGCCACATGAATGAAGGTATCTTATCCCAAAGACTAATTTATCACAAACTTAAACCCTCTTCATTGTGTATCAGTTTGTTAGTTGATCAGAGTAATCTGTAATACTTTTGTATAGGGATATTTTCTTTTTAACTTAGAGACTACAAAAGTATAAACTCTACTTTCTATTTATCATACCTGAATGAGAGTAATTTGAAGTGAAATAGTCATATCTTAACCCTAACTTTTTAAAGTGTTGCATCTTAAATCAAGAAAAGATTTCACTCTGCATTGTATCTCAACTTGAATTCCTAGGTATGGCCTGGTAGGGACATGACACATCTTGATCATGTCTCAACAGGAGCTGTTCAAACTGTGGAAGCACGAATGTAAACGTGTGATAGCGGATCGTTTCACCGTGTCTGATGATGTGACCTGGTTTGATAAGACTTTAGCAAGTTTGGTAGAGGAGGAGTTTGGCGAAGAGGAAAAACTCTTGGTGGATTATGGAATCGATGCTTATTTTGTGGATTTCTTAAGGGATGCACCAGAAGCTACAGGTAAACTGTTGAAGCAGAGTTTGAAAATCCTCCCAAAGGTTTCTTTAGATCTTTACAGAGATCTAAAGACAGAAGGTTCCATTTAGGGAGGTTAAGTTTCTGCTTGGCAAATTATGGAAACAAGCCAGGGGTCGAATGGGTGCTCAGTCAGTATATAGTGAGTGGATAAATGCATAATTCTGGAATTCAAAGATGAATTGTTTTTATGCTCATTTCTCTTGAATATTAAGATACAGTGGGAAGGCAGGAGAGGGTGGAAGAAAGTGCCCAGCATTAGTAGGAGTCAGTTTGAGGGAGATTCAAGGATGATAAAACACATAGTAACCAGGCATTTCTGAACCCCAAACCTTGTTTTCCTCATTATAAAAATATAAATGTAAATACGTGGCTCTTGGACATTGTGGGGAACAACATTATGTGTAGAGTAGTGTGAGCATTTTTGGCCCATAGTTTCTGTCAAATGAAAGGTAGCAAAAATGAAGATAATTATTTACTCAAGCCATCTGGATGTTGAAACTAAAAAGGAAAATCTCAATGAGAAAGCATTGAATGTAGTTGGAAAGAGACAGTGATGTGAAGGGAAGCTTTAGAGCCTATGGTTCCATGAAAAGAGGAGACAGAGTACATTTCTCATGAAAAGAGGCTGTGCTCCGATTGGTTTGCTTCAGAAATAACCAGGCTCATGAGGAATATTATTCTTTCATTAAATAACCTCTTCTAATACTGAGGATAKATTTTAAGTTAATGTGCATATCTAAAAAGGCATGTTCAAAAAAGCTGCAGTTTATGCCTTCTAAACGATGGGAAACATAGGGCAGTCCCTGTATGCGTGATCTGTCAAAAGTTTTTGAGGGATAATTGCAGAAGGTTCATTGCTGGGCTATGCAGTTGGAAAGAAGTGAATACATTTTATTTTAAATCAGGTTAAATACATAAAAATCCTGTAAGGGGATTTTACTAGACAGTTAACATTTATTTTGTATTTATTTGTTTGAGTTACCTGATTTTCTCTAATTCAGACAGGTAAATAATTAGATTATGGTTTTCAAGGAGCAAGAGCAACTGCTRTGTCTTTGGGGTGGGGTGGGGTCCAGAGGCAAACAAAACCTTTTGTGACTTCAGAGCACTTCATTTCTCAAAGCTTGCTGATCATTTATGTGAGAATTGTCACTACTGAAATTTGGCTATTGTAGCTCAGCCTTTTCTCTCATACCTTAAAATGCCCTTCTATCTTTACCATTAAATTTACCATCAACTGAAATTTCTAAATCATAGAAGTTCCCCGGGCAAATGCAATGACCTTATTCTTTTTATTCTTATTTAAAAAGTTATGTAATTCTTGACCTCCCTTGAGATTTTGATGTTAAGTCCCTACTTTTTTCACTTTCATTTTAATCATTAAGCTCGTATCTCTGAAAGGATCTTTGAAATGCAGTGTTTAATTGTGATTTCAAATTAAATTCAACGAGTACATTATTTCAAAGTGCCTCTTTCTAGACAAGAAAGAATTAGGGCTGCCAATGATTGTAGAAATCCTAATGCTTCCCCTATTTTTTTCCCTAAAAATTCATAATATGGCATTTTAATGAAAATTAATATTATTCAGTTTTATTAATAATTTTCATATTATTTAGGGCTATGAGTATATTAATAGAGGTTGAGGGAAGTAGTGAAGCCCGGCAATTTGAAGAAACTTCATTGAATCTTCTTCCCCACCAAAGGTGAAACATCTGAGGAGCCTGATGCCGAAATGCCCAAAGTGTATGAGCCAATTGCATCTTTTCATCAACTGAAAGAGCGTTTGAATCTGTTCCTGCAGCTGCATAATGAGAGTGTCCGCGGCGCTGGCATGGACCTGGTGTTCTTTGCAGATGCGATGGTGCACTTGGTCAAGGTACAGTGGCCTTGCCCAGTAGCACCTCCTGGGAGTGACACACACTTGGCTTTGTTCCAGAATTTCCCCACTTTCCAATTTGGTCTCCTAGGAGACTACTCAGCTTCAAAGTGAACTCAGGGCTCTATTCCAATTTAGCTTCTAAACCGAGAGCAACATGTCACACCTCACAGGCTTAAAATAAGAGCATGTGTACTTCCAGTGTGTGATGTGATAATTTTATTCAGTGTTGCTACACAGCTGTCAGCTCAGTGTTTTCACCACGTAGAATGAACGTGGTTGACATCAGAGTTCAGAGTAAAGGCAAAGTCTGCTTATTTGCGTATCACGTGAAGATTATCACTATAAAGCAGTGCATAAACCTTGAGGACATTATGCTAAGTGAGACAAGCTAGACACAAAGGGCAAATACTGAAGCACTCCGTTCCTATTAGGTACCCAGAATATTAAAAAACAGGAAGGATAGATAGATGTTGCCAAGGGCTGGGTGGAGAGGGGAGGTGGGAGTGTTAAATGGGGCACAGAGTTTCAGTTTTGCAAGATTCAAAGACCCCTGGAGATGGATGGTATTGCTAGTTGCGTCCCCTTGGGACTGTGCCTGTCTCTATTAGACTGCACTTAAAATGGTTGTGGTGGTAAATTATATGTGCATTTTGCCACAATTAAAACTAATAATTTAAAAGCATGCACATACAGTTGACTTTGAGCTGATGAAAATTCCTTCAGAATGAAATTCCCCCAGGAAAGTACAGTTTCCATTCTACTTTGTCATTTGGATCATTATGGTATCTACTTGTAGAATAATGGATCCTCAAAGGTTAGAAGAACAATATGATATTTTACTCAGAAGCTTATGTGACTTCATTTATCTGTGGTGTAAGATAATGCCGTTTAAAACTCTGTGGATATTCTCACTTTGTTGACACCCATCACCTTTTCAGTCTAAATCCTTTCAGTTTGAAGCTGTCTTCTGTTGCTTAGGTTTAACCATGAGGAACAAGCTCATAAATACAAGTTGTCCCTTCTAATAATCACCAGACCTTAGATATATGGAGAGGAATTTAGAGCTTGTCTAGTGAAAGGTGATTGTCTCACAGCTTCTTTTCTCTGAAGAGCCAAGGGAAACCTTTCTATTAGTGCCTCTGGARTAAGTCTGAGAAGAGGAGGAAGAGGGGGATGAATCTCTCCAGCAAGAAGTCCTTAGCTTGGTGACACTGAATTCTCAGAATCAGAGACATCCAGTTGTGCTGCATGACTAGCCCTGTGCTCTTCCAAAGCAATTTATCACTGTTTGAAATTAGAACTGAATTTACAATAGGTTAAGAGTTAAAATTTTCAGGAAGAACAGACATCTGTCATATAATAATTAAATAAAGGGGGGGGGGAGAAAAATGTCTTTTCCTAAATGGGTAATACCGAAGGCGACTTTATAGCCAAGTATCTGTTGGAGACAGTTGGGTTGGCCTGGGACTTCACATCCCCTGGAGCTACAGAGGAGGTTATYTATGTTAGTTTTGTGCTTGAGCGAGTTCACCCCAGCCATCTCTGCCCATGGTTTGCAGCACAGATCAATGAGCCCCTCTCTATCCATCTGGTTGTGCACTAGAGGCATGATGTTAGCTTAGGGCCTTGAAGGTGTTTTCCCTTCTTCTCAGCCTTCAGTCGATTTGCTCTGGAATTGGCCAAAGAATCCTTGACTGGAATTTTTGAGCCCAAATGGGACATTTCACGCTCTTGTTTTCTGTGCTCAGCACACTCAAGCTCTGTGTCGTGARAATATGAGCCTTGAAATATGTGACCCAGTTATAAGATGAGATAGAAGCCAAAAGACAGAACTGGAGACAAAATCTGCAGCCAAATGGGATGTGATCCCAGTCAGTATATTTCTTAGCTCCCTTCTTCATTAGCATAATCATCTTTAAACCCAGGCTGTGTCTCTGTGTTACGCATCTCTTTGCCTCTTGAGTGAAAGTTCAGACTATGGTATTGGTGGTTTCCATGATCTACCCCTTCTACCATTCAGCCTGTGGGTCATGCCTCTGCCTTGTGCATAATCCAGGAAAATGACCTGCTTGGAGTTAGTGCATCCTGACCCAGAGCTGCTCACCAGTACAAATCCCCGCCCCCCGTGCTACACTGTGTAGAGTTTATCTGTGTGTCTGCCAGCCCTGCTAGACAGTAAGCTTGGTGAGTGCAGGCGCTAAGTCAGCTCAGTCTTCCCAGGACAAGTGAATGTTGAGATGGTCACACAGGGGACTCTTGATGAATTGTCTGGAATTTCAGGAGGTCTCCAGTGTGGGCCTGAACAATACTTTGCTGCCTCAGCTCCTGCACTTTCCCTGCCCCCTGCTGAAGTTCCCACCCTTAGGGGAACACCTTGGGACTTTCCTGACTCTGAAATTTTGTCTTATTCCTTCTAAGATGTCGCCYACCTGCTGCCAGCACAGTACCTTTGTCTGATAAACTTCTAGTCATCTTCCAAGATCAGATCCAGTTCCAGCTGCACACTGGAGTTTTGCCTGCCCTGAGCCAGGAATGTCTCCTTGGCCCGTCTTCCTCCCCCTGGCCGTTCCTCTCTGTTCTCCCATTCATGCTGGTTCTGCCAACAGGTCTCTCTCCTGCTATCGTGTGATCATCTGCAGGGCAAGATAAACATTTTTAATTTTTAAATACTTGCTAATGGGGTTCAAAAAAGAATTTCTCTATTTCACAATCCATACCTTATCGGTCGAAATAGCCCTATTTGAGTGTCTCACTTGACTGTACTTTCCTCCTGAAATATTTAAAAACAAGAGCCTGAGTTTTTAAATTCCCTTTTAAAGCCTTCTGTTTGTTCATGTATGTGTTCATTTGTCAAATATGTGTTGAGGGGGTACCCTGTGCCAGAGACTAGGAATGGGAAATTTTAACGTGGGACTTCAGCCCAGTTCCAGGTAAACATGTTGAATGACATTTCCTTAATGCCAGATAGACAAAATTCTTACAAACCCCTAATATATTCCCTCACATCACGTGAAGGAAACAATTATGGTTGAAACGTGGCAATTGAGGAAGCACACAAGACTTCCTCAGAAGTGCGGCTTCTGGTAGCTCCTTACCTGCACTGTCTCCCTCTCACACGTCTACCCTCTCACCCACTAGGACTTGGAGAGAGTCACCGCAGGGATGTGCTCTGAGCTGGGGAAGCAGCTGGCCTCAAGGCTGTCAGCTCCCCACAGAGCAGGGATTCCCCAGGATTCCTGCCGAAGTGGGTGAGATAGTCCAACAGGGATGGAGCACATTCCAACTAGAGGAGGAGATGTGGGGAAAGGGTGTTTGACAAAACCTTGGCAGAACAGAGAGCCCCAGTGACTCTCGGAAGCCTCCCTTCCCACGGAGAAGTGACCCCTTTTCAGCCCTAACCTCATTTGTTTTGGGTATGTGACTTTCCCAGCAGTACCCCAGGTTCCAACTGTAGTTAGGAAAGAAGGAGAAATAGTTAACCACACAAGGGAAAAGGATTGCCAAGAATTCTACACCTAACGCTTTCCAGGTGGGACTGGAAACCTTATGGTTTAAGTAGTTCATTTATTCCTACTTTATCAAGTAGGAATAAAGCCAAATAAATATGAACTTCCACTAAAAGGGRGACTTGGCATGGTCTGGGGCAAGTGATCATCATGGAGCAGCCTTTTGATCATCCTTTAATCACTTCTCTGTGGATGTTTTAGGTTCACTGTCTTTGCCAAAAAATAGGAGGGTGTTTCTATTGTGTATACCCTGTTTTAGGATTTGACTTCTCTTTGATTTAAACTCCTTTTTCAAATGTGGAGGATATCTTAATCAGTTGCACGCTCTGCGTTCTGAGGATAGACATTGGTTTGAGATGTCTGTTCTCTTCCCCATTGCAGTACAATGGGCTGGGCAAACTGAGAGGACACCTCGAACTCCCCATTACCTCCTTGACCACACAGAGCCCTGCCCTGTCCAATGCATCCTAAACACAGTACTGTTTCAGAAATGCCCTCATTCCTTCAACYAGCATCTCTTTCTGATCTTAAGATTGCTCTGTCTTCCAAAATGATTATTTGGCCTTATTTTCACATTGAAAAAAATGGAAAAAAAAAACCAGTCTGTTTACATGTTGAAAGATCCATGCCTTTTCTATTCCATATTATAGATCTCTCGAGTCATTCGTACTCCTCGGGGAAATGCCCTCCTGGTCGGGGTGGGCGGATCAGGAAAGCAGAGCCTGACAAGGTTGGCTTCATTCATTGCTGGCTATACTTCCTTCCAGATCACTCTGACAAGGTAAAAAGCTTTGAATTTAACCTAGAGTGGATTTTGGAGAAAGGTTATCAGAGGCCACCTTGAGTTAAGAATGCATTTTTCTTATATACATTAAGAATCGCAACAGCTTTCCTTCTCGAACGTTGACTAAGTTTCCCCTTTCAACCTTTGTCATGGTCCATGAACATTTCACATTAACAACCTACTTTTGAAACATTTCAGCCTCTCGCTATAGTGAACGACTGCTTCCTTGTTTTGATGCCATATACAACACGAGTATTGTATTTTTTCTTTTGGTGCATTTCAGAGAAAACCTCTCTCTCCTATGCATTAATGCAGATTTCAAGAATGTTAATATAATGGAAAATAGATAAAAATGTACGTTGATTTACTCAAACCCTTCAAAGTGTCTTACTGAACACTGACTGTGTGTCTGGTACTGGCCAGGGGAGCGATGCTGTGTCAGTCAACTTTCTTAGTAGGACCAAAGAGTTATTTTGTCTCAYSGTTTCAGAGGCTTCCTTCTATGGTCAGTTGGCCCTGTTGATTTTGGACCTGTGACAAGGCACAAGATCCTGATGGAGAGAGCTGGCCTTCTGGCAGCTGGGAAAGATGGGGTGTGAGGAGGGAAGGGTCCTAATACCCCTTCAAGKTGATGCCTCCAGGTCCTAACTTCCCCCCACTAGGCCCCGCCCCCTGAAGGTTCCACCTCTCAACAGCACCACAGGTTGGAGACCAAGCCTTCCACATAGGCCTTTGGGGGACATTCCAGAGCCAAACTCTGGCAAAGATGAAGTAGCTTGTGTCATGGTGGAGCTTACAGTGACTCAAAGGGGACAGACAAGGAGCCACTCATTCAATAAGGTGTGATTCGTCAGTGCTGTCTAAGATAGGGAAATGAGTGCAGAACAATTCTCCTGGGCCCATAAAAGAGGTGCCTTTAAACTAGGGAGTGATCAGGGTGTCTTCCTGGAGAAAATGAGGCTTCAGTTGAAAACCTGAATATGAGTAGGAATTATCGCAGAGAAGAGGAGCAGTCAGCACATGAGCCCTGGAAGAAGTTGCCTATGGCTGGGTGCCCAGTGAGAGGGTACAGATGGGAAGAGAAGAGACACAGGGTCCTGTGAAGGTCACTGAGGCGCTGAGACTTCCTCTGAGAGCAACAGGACACCATTGATGGGTTACCTCTAGTACTCCTCGTGGAAATGCCCTCCTGGTCGGGGTGGGCGGATCAGGAAAGCAGAGCCTGACAGATTCGGACGTGCAGTGAGTGAATGGAAGCAACTAAACTGGAATAGCAATGAGGCTGGGTCAGGGCAAGGTGTGACGGTGTCTTGAGTGAGTGGTGGCAGTGAGAATGCAGAGAGGGAGAACAGACCACTGGAAGCTGGGCCTCACAGACTTGGTGCATCCTGGTTTGGGGCTTGGGAAACTAGCGAGGTAGTTTCATCAAGAGAGGGGACCCCAGAGGAGTTGTCTTCAGGTATGTGTGTGTAGTGCAAGGAGAAAGCACAACTGGYGGGTGAATAGGAAGAGATCAGTGGAGGTGATGCAGAGCAGTTAAAGAGAGTTTCAGGATTAGCCTTGTTAAGGTTGGAAGCCAGTCTGGTAAGTTTAGTTGGAATGAAGATTATTTGAGGTTAATTTATAGATGTGGGAGTAGGAAGTCTTGCTTAGTGGGCATTGATGATGGGCAAAACATGTCATTGACCTGTCTCTTGGGGGAGTCTCATAGACACCTGCTAGGACAAAGGCTGAATCTCCAGGGTTGGAGAGTCTGTTATGCAAGCTGCGGTTGTTACGGTGTGTGTTTGGTCTGATTTAGAGGGTTCTTCTTGGAGAATAAATTTAAAGATTGCTTGCATTAGTCAGATTCTTGTTGCTTTGACAAAATACCTCAGATAACCCATTAGGGGAGGAAGGGTTTATTTCAGATGAATCCTTTGGTGAGCTTAGAACCCCTAGGATTCAATTTCTTCCCAAGATCCCACCCATACAAACACTGCTGCATGGGGGACCAAGCCTTCGACACAGGTGCCTTTGGGGAACATTCTAACTCCAAACCATATACTGCTCTTTTATTGAAGTAACAGGGCTGACAGAAATATGCTGTGTTTACCTTTGTATGATTCTTCTAGTTTGTGGACAGAGACAGAGCCAAATAAAATACAACCTACACAGGAAAAGGATTGGACTGATTTTTGTTCCTAACATTGTTTAAAACCTTATTGTTTTCAAAGCACTTTATTATGGATGAGATAGTTTGATTTTTTTAAACAACTCAGTGGGTTAAGAGGGCAATAGCCTATCTTGAAGTTGAAGTTCAGAGAGGCTGAGAATTGCCTGACCTCTCAGATGTAGCTGGAAATCGATTGTAGGACCTTGGTAGTCAATCCAGATTCCTAATGCATTGTGGCTTCAACTGCATCTTGGGGCCTCAGTAAATGTACCCTGGGGAAATTTTCACTTAGACAAGTCAGTTCCTCTGCATGTCACACAGGAATGACCCATCAACAATGAGGGAAAGGGCCAAAGTCTGCCTTGCCTAATCACCGCCTTTGAGATAGCGTCCYGCTCCTTAGGCCTTTGCACACATGTGTGGCTGAGGCTGGCATGAAAGGGAGGCTACCATTTGGGAACCATGAGCTTATAGATTTTAAAATAGGTCAGAGTACAGAAGTTAAATATGAGCAGCTTTTAACAAGTCAGATGGCCAGTTGCTCCTGTGCTATGGGTTGCAAGTTTCTTGAATGATGGAAAGGACAAATAATAATTTACTAAGTCTCAGTCTCCAAGATTAGAATATTTTTATTTTTACTTCTGGCAGTAACAGATGACTCTTTATTGAGACCTCGCTAACCTTTCTTGATTCTGACTTGTAACTAAGATTTACTTTTGATAGAAGATTTACAGTGGGATATTCGTAGCATTTCTGGCGATTTTGGTATAGATTATTCAGAAAACTCTTTTATGTGGAATCCAAAGACGTGGAGGATAATAATCATATGGGGGYGTCAGGAGGGATCATTTGTAATAGGGCAGCTTCTCCCCATAAAATTAAAGCTTGAATTGATTTAAGTTATGAGATGTCTTCTAAAATACCAGTTTAAGATAGGGGGCTTTCAAAATATTCTGTCATTTCCAACAACTATTTTCAAAATGTTACATGTATTCATTCAACTGACATTTGCTCGTAGTAGAAATTATATTTCTATTTCAGATTGGCTTTTCATTTTAGTTTTTTTCTTTATGTATAAAAACACTAATTGTAATGTTTTATGAAATGTGGAGTTTTAAAAATCAATTAGCCGGGAACATTTATATCCAGTAGATACTGTATGATGGCACAAAATCTGCGCTTTTTGCCTAGCTAACTGGTGTAAAGCATTATTATTACACGGATCTTTTTTTTTTTTTTTTTTTGCCCTGAGAACAAGTTAGCTAACGACACAATGACAATATTTTTTCAGATCCTACAACGCATCAAACCTGATGGAAGACCTAAAGGTTCTGTATAGGACGGCTGGTCAGCAAGGGAAAGGAATCACTTTTATTTTCACGGACAATGAGATTAAAGAGGAGTCATTTTTGGAATACATGAACAATGTTTTATCATCCGGTGAGGTAGGATCTCACTTATTCTTCACACGTTTTATCTCTCCAGATTTTCTCTGCCTTAAGAACTTTCTCTATTTTCTTCCCTTGGAGTTTTGAATAAATGCTACTGGGGACTTGGTGATCGGTGTACAGAATGTTTTTTTTTTTTTTTCTATTGATTTTTTTTCTTTTAAACAATACTGGGGATTGAACTTGAACCCAGGGCCTCGGCAAGCACTCTACCCTTGAGCTCCATTCCGAGCCCTTTTTATTTCATTTTGCAACAGTGTCTGGCTAAACTACCCAGGCTGGCCTTGAACCTGAAGTTCTCCTGCCTTAGCCTCCCATGGGGAAGGGATTGCAGGCATACACCGTTGCAGCTCCTGTGTTTTTCAAGCATGAAGGTCCCAGTGAAAACAAGGGGCTAAGCATTTAAAACATGAGTGAGTGCCCCCAGTGACAATCGAGGAAACAGGGCAGAGGGGAGAAGAAAGGCTGCATTTTGGTGTGTTTGTTTTACCCACTTTGAGGGATGTGGCCTTGCAGTTAATCATAGAATTGTTGGTGATTCTGAGATGCCGTAGACTTCATCTTGAAAATTTCAGTTAAGTTTTAGAAGGCGCGTTGAAGACCCCAAGTGGAGGGAAAGCATCAGCTCCCGAGGTGTGTGTTGAGGTTTGTCTGGATGTGTGTGTCCCGAAGGAAGATGCCTGCACTTCTTTTTCAGGTCTCCAACCTGTTTGCTCGTGATGAAATTGATGAAATTAATAGCGATCTGACCTTAGTCATGAAAAAGGAGCACCCCAGGCGCCCTCCTACCAACGAGAACCTGTGTGACTACTTCATGTGCCGCGTCCGAAGCAACCTTCACATAGTGCTCTGCTTCTCTCCGGTGGGGGAGAAATTCCGAAATCGAGCTTTGAAGTTCCCTGCCCTTATTTCAGGGTGCACGATTGACTGGTTCAGCCGATGGCCTAAGGACGCCTTAGTTGCTGGTGAGTGTGGTGGAAATATTCATGTCGGGGTTTCTGGTTCACAGTGTTTGTTTATTCATGTATGTTCTGTGCCRTTGGCCATCTCTGTATTGGGTTGAACTGACTCACTTCATACAGCATTTGAGAATTTTTGCTATGAGACGTTGTTCTTTTTTATTAGGTAGCTGATTTTTCCTGGAGCAAGTTTATCAGAGAATGAGACCTTCAGTTTCTACCCTTTGGGTTAATTCACAGTGACTGTAGTTTTTCTTGGGGTGTTTGCTGACTTTGCCTCCAATTGAATCCCCAGGCAGTTTTTGGGATGTCACAGGAAGACAGCAAGATRTTAATCTCACTGGTCTATTTAAGTGGGTTTGTCGGCCCCAGAATAGTTAAAACCAAGTGTCTCTTGGACATTCCCTCCCCATTGCTGCGATGCTGTAAATCAGAGAGAAAAACATTATCCCRCAATCCTCTAATGGCTTCTGTCCTTGACAAAGGCTGTTACCAGTTCTCCGATGGGAGCCAGCCTGTTCTGTCCAATCTTCCATCCCATGGGAACGTGATGCCTCTTTTACTCTGTAAGTGAAATTGGAACGGGAGAGTAGTGCAGAACGTGTTAGAGATTAGACATTTAATGTGCTGTTTTTTTTTTTCTTCCCAGATTTGGGTGTGAAATTGTCCATGGCTATTTTTAAAGCTGCAGATAATCCTGAACCTCTGTTTCAGAATTGTAGGGGAATCCTGATTCAGAGTGGTAGTTTTCAGATTTCTCATCTGATTTTATAGTTTATTTCCTGGTAATGCCTTACAGGTATCCCTACCAGATAAAGCACTGAAAGATGAAGGGTGAGGAGGTACTCTGGAATCTCCCCCTCTCAGCACCACCACTCTGCCCCTTCGACCCTGCCCCTCCAACTCTGTGGTACCCTGTGTGAGAATGACTGATGGATGGTCTAGAGATGGAGAAACTGGGGAGAGGGAAGCTGAGGGACTCATTGGAGGTGGAAGGAGCCAGTAGGATCAGTACTGGGGCTAGAACATGTTTTCCTATCTATCAWCCATCCATCTCTCCATCTCTCTTATCTATCTGTCCAATCTATTAATCAGCTATCATATTGATCATTTATCTATACCTATTAATTTATCATGTATTTATCTTTCATGAATCTGTCATCTCTCAATCATATGTATGAATCAGTCAGTCATCTCTGTTTGTCTACTTTCCTTTTTTTTTTTTTTTTAAATAAAACTTATGTCCACTGGGGAAGTTTTATTATCGGCACACTATTCTTTGCAATAATGGTTTTCCAAGATGTGACTTTTAAATAAAAAATATCTTAACATGTTTGAAGTATGAATGTACAGTGTAATTTTCTTCTTTGTTTTACAAAGCTTGAAAAAAATCTGGCAATTTAAAATTTTAAGTTCTATAAAAATATAAATAGAACTACAGGTCAGATTTTWAAATTCCTTGAAGTAGGATATGCATGCAGGGCACAAAACAACAGTATTTGAGAGTTATACTAAATTTACGATAAAATATTGTAATCAGTGTGCAAAKGCTTTGTAAAATGTCACGTGAGATATTATCATTAGCAACGAAAAACACCAGGTGACATAACTGTCATKTAGCACTCTTAAAATGATTCAATTTATAAATAGAGTCTTTCCTGTGAAGTCCCTGCTTCAATCATCCTTTCTTTTATAAGACAAACCATTCATCCTTTTTTTGTTAATTTCTCACAAATCTGTCCCATTCTTTCGAATCTCATTGCATCAGCCCATGCCAAGATTACKTAGAGGCAGGAAAACTCCCATTTCTGTGCTTCAGTTCCTTGCAAGTGTCCTGATCTTCGTGCATGAATCTATTTGTTCATCTGTTGGAAACATGTTTGTTGAGCTTGCTGGTGCAGTGAGCCAGGCATGTTGGAGGGTGAGGCACACCCATTTCTTTGCTCCAGATTCTCTCGGCAGGAAAGCTCATCCATAGCCTCCTGTATAATATGCCCCATTGGTTTTTATCTCCTGCCTAGTCTGTCCACTGGCTTAAAAGCTGTGCTCTCAACTGCCTGTTTGATCCATTCCCATGGATGTTTCACAGGTTCCCTGGATTTAATATCTGAAACCAAATTGGTTCCCCCTCTTAGAAAGTGCCACCATCATTCCTGAGACAGGCAATTGCAGGCCTCTGGGTCTTTTGCAGCTGCCTTTCCTTCAGCTCTCAGGTGTGATGCATTTCCACACTGTGTCATGGCCCTCCTAAATCCTGGGGGAATCTGCCTCTTTCTGTTTCACTGACCCCCTGCATCAAGCCACCTTGTTGCTCACATGAGAAAAACTGGTTGCTCTCTTAGGATCTCTCTTCCCTTGTCCTGTCTCCATCCATCTCAGACTGCCGACAGTAAAATGGTAAGAACACAAACCAACCGCACAGCTTTCTGCTTAAATCTCTCTGTGTCCTTCTATTACCCCTGGGGGAGAAGGGAGCCATTGGTATTTAGCATCACCTTCATAGCTGGGAAGAGCTGGCCCCTCCCCTGAGCTCACTCTCCCTCTCATGCCGGTTCCCTGGATCTTTGAACATGCCATTTCTTTGTCTCATGCAACTCCATCATCTTCCCATTCCCCACAGCACYCTATTCCCTTTATTTGGGTAATGCTAGCTCATCAAAATTTCCCCTCTTGGAAAATCTTCCTGTGCTTCCCCCTTTCCTGCACCGAGCAGTCTCCTGTTGTCCATCTCATAGCACACGGTGCTTGTCCTTCTTGAGACCAACCACAGTTTCCAATTCATAGACCTAATTGTGTGGCTCGAGGGTTAATGCTCATCCATCCACAGGTCTAGAATGCATGAGGCCAAGGACTACATCTTTTCTATTCACCACTAGGGTAGCTACTCGTGTCTGACAAGGTGTTCAGTGTTAAAACTCATCACCCTTCCACAGTTTGGCCCCAATTCCCTTTGTCTTTTCCAGCTCACCATGAACCTCTTTCTACCTAAGAGGCAGTCAATGACTGTCAATGACTGCCTCTTAGTGGGCCTGAGTCACCCTGAGAGGTCTTTTATGTAACCTTTCCTGTATAAAATCATCCCATTTTTATTCTCTTTGATTTGGGGGAATATAAAGAGATAACTTTATAAGGTTACCATTATTGATTCTCTCTGTTCATCTGTGTAAGAAAAAAATGATCACATGGTAAAACAAAGAAGTTTTCAGCGAGTGGGAGTTGTCCTGAAGATATCCTGTAATGCCAAGTAAAGCGCTCAGCATTGTGCATGCTGAGTTGTGGATATTGCGCTATTGTGGTTAGCACTTAAAAAACTCCATCATAGAGTGGCTGGGTTATAGMTCATTGGTAGCGTGGGGCACTTGCATAGCACACGCAAGGCGCTGGGTTCAATCCCCAGCTGCACACACAYAGACACCCACACAAACACATTGTCACAGGTAAGAATTGTTTCTATCTTTCCAGTGCCTAGAATCAAACTTCCTAGAATTTAAACTATTTTTATAGTATTTTCTAAACTCATAAAAAATATGTGTCCTGAGTGTGTCTAATCTATTGCCTTGCAGTATGTGGTAATTTGTAAGTGTGACCACACTGATGGATGGTCCCTGTTTACTGCATGAGAACCTAGGTTAGTGATCACCTTCTAATGATGAGAAGCCACCCTTCTGCATGTCTGTGCTAACTGTCACATGTTAGGCTTGCTCACCTGGTTCTTTTTGTTTCCCTCCAGTTTTTACTGGCTATATTTCCACTTATAATTCTTATGTACATAGGCTGGTTTTTCTAAAATACATAAAAACGGTTGTGACAATTTTTAACTACATTATGCATAACCCTTGTGAATTCTTTGAGGTTGAGATCAGCTTTTATATTTCTCTTTTCTTTGCCACCCCTCACAGTGCTGGMTATACGAGAAGCACTCAGTATGTATGTGGCAATTGATCAGCTCTTAGCTTATTCTTATAGCAGAAAATGCCGTCTTAGAATTGGTCTGCTGTCAGGTACTATGAGGAAGGTAAATGTTCTCCAAGAAGAGATTTTTACCCAAACATTTCTAAAGGATGCTACAGATTAGATCCAGACACCAATGGCCAGCTGCTGCATTTAAGGGCAGGATAACCTGGGCATAAAAAAATTTTAGTGATGAACATTTCTATGTGCCAAATGCAGTCAGAGCCTGGAGGAATTAAGGGACTGACAGATTCTGAGTTAAAAAAAAAAATGGGATTGTTAAATATGAGTACCAGGTGGGCACTGATGTCTGAGTTATTTGTATCACTTTTGTCCTTATGTAAACCATAAAACAGGCTGGCTGCTGACCAGATCGTGCAGCTGTGTAGAGGAGACTTCTGTGCACAAGCACCAAAACCAAAGAATGATGATAGGCTGGAAGTCTTTTATAGTTTTATGTATGAAAGGGAAAATGGAATTGTTGATGTCTTAGGCCTGGGGCCAAAAGTGGTGACATAGATCTACCTAACTGGGGCTACAAAAATGGTATGCAGTCCTAGGAAGTATGTCAGTCCTTTAAAAATAGCCAGGCAACTTTTAAAATGGTTGTTCACATCTGTATCTTACATGCTGTCATTCCTGATTCTTTGCAGTGTCTGAACACTTCCTTTCTTCCTATGAGATTGACTGCAGTTTGGAAACCAAGAGGGAGGTGGTCCAATGCATGGGCTCCTTCCAGGACGGGGTGGCTGAGAAGTGTGTTGATTATTTCCAGAGATTCCGACGTTCTACCCACGTGACCCCCAAATCATACCTCTCCTTTATTCAGGGCTATAAGTTCATTTATGGAGAAAAGCGTGTAGAGGTACAGACCTTGGCCAACAGGTAAGTGTGAAGTTCAAATAACAGTCATTTTAGAGCAGCGAATTATGTGTTCAGGGGTTCTCTCATCGTGCAGCAAAATTCTTTCTCATGAATATTTTGCAATGACTGGAGACATTTTTGTTGGCCATGAATGGGGTTAGCAGGATTGGGGATGGGATGGAGGCCAGTGGCATCTAATGGGTAGAGGCCAGGAATGTTGCTAAATATTTTACAGTGTATAGGACAGCCTCCACAGCAAAGAATTATCCAGCCCAAAATACCAGTAGTGCTGAGGATGAGCCCATCCAGAGGATTATCCCATGATTCCTAGAGACTTGGTTGTTGCCCAATAGTAGGAACTGTTGCCAGGTTTTATGTGCTCTGCCACCTTCTGTGATAGGCAACGACATAATGATAGCAATAAGAGGCCTGGGAGGCAGTCAGGATGCAGACCTTCCCTCCTTCCTCTGTCCCACCCCTCGGAGTGGGTGAGGTAGAATAACCTGGTGTATATACTCACTGCATAGTGAATAATACTTACCTGAAATTTGTTCCAAACTTTAATGCTCTGCCCTGTGCTTTTYGGAAGACTTTTGCCTGAATATAGTCGGAATCAGCTGGGGCCGCCATATAAGGAATCCCTGGGTTGGGGTGGTGGTGGTGGTGATTGAAATAAATGAGTCTGAGGAGTCCCATCTTTAAGAGCACACTATCTCAAGTTCAGGTAGGTGGTTAGTCTCTTCTGGGGCAGTTCTGATGGATCTATTTTTTTTTCTTTGAGGTCAAATCTTTTTTCTTTAACTTCATCAGACTTTTTTTGAAAAATAGTCGTTATTTATTTTCCTTCCTCTCTAACAGGGCTTCAGACCTTTGAAGTTGATTGTCATGGGGTTAAATGTCATTAAGCACACTTCCTGCACGATACACATTTTAAATGCACCATCATTCCTTATGGAACAACCATGTTTTAGTGGGCTCATGCTTCTTAAGCATAGTCTAGGAAGAACTTGGGGTTGAGCTAGAACTAAACCTGGCTTTACGCCCTTTTGTGAAGCCCTTTTGGATTTTCTCTTTGCACACATACTTATTCTTCAACTATGACAATATCTACTCATATTTGTGAACTAGTACTTAGAAAAACGTGTCCAAGCACCACGATTTTTAACATTGCTTGCTCGGATTATTTTAACCCCAGAATGAATACCGGTTTGGAAAAACTGAAAGAAGCTTCAGAATCAGTTGCAGCCCTGAGCAAAGAACTGGAAGTTAAAGAAAAGGAACTACAGGTGGCCAATGAGAAAGCCGACATGGTGGGTAGATGTTGATACCTGGGCCCTGTTCCCTTGGAGCTCCTAGTGTAGAAATGCTAATGATGCACATCCATTCACTACCTGATACCGTGGAATTGTATTTATTTATTTAAGAATAAAATACTTTTAATTTCACGTATGAAAAAAATTGGGTAAGTGGACAAAATCAGCAGATCAGGGCAAAACCGTGCATTTTTTCTGTTGGGTCTTCACAATCTTGGATGAAGTAGCTTTTGTTTTATAAATTAATCAGGTCTTAAAAGAAGTGACCATGAAAGCACAGGCTGCCGAAACAGTCAAGGCTGAGGTACAGAAGGTGAAGGACAAAGCCCAGGCCATTGTAGACAGTATCTCTAAAGACAAAGCCATTGCTGAAGAAAAACTTGAAGCAGCCAAACCAGCTTTAGAAGAAGCAGAAGCAGCCTTGCAGGTAAGTTTTTGCGATGCAACCGATACCACTTTAAGGTCTAGGAAGAGGACTGAAGGCAAAAATAGATTCATAACATCAAGGAGTGCTGTTCTGGATGAGACTAATGGACTAACGCTCTAGCCACTGGAACACTCCCAGTGACATTTTCTGCTTAGAGATTCTTTATAGATTTGGCACATGCATGTGACCTGTTTCTTACTTGTTCCTCCATTTCTCTGTATGCTGGCTGAACTGTCCTCCTTCATCTTTGAAGACTCCTCTAGGGTCTCCCATTTTCAGACTTCTGGTCACCTCAGCATCCCCCCCCTCCCAACATCTTGGCACTTTGGCTGCACCGAGAGTCTCTGATCAACAGAGAGAAGACAACGTTAGTGCAAAGAAACTTTGAAAACTTTGTTGAATTATGGTGCCTGATGGAAGCCTAGGACTAGAGCATACAGCATTTCAGGTCTTTCTTAAAAGGCGATTCTGTAAGATTTAAAAGGGGAAATGAGGGGAAGGGAGAGGGATGGAAACAGGAAAGACAGTAGAATGAATCAGGCATGACTGTCCTGTGTTCATATATGAACACCCAACCAGGGTAAYTCCACATCATGTACAACTGCAGGAATGGGATTCCAATCAGAATAAATCATGCTCCATACAAAATACACTCTGCTGTCATGTATATCTAACAAGAATAAATAAAATATATATAAGAGGCTCAATAACTCTTTTGATATTATAAAATGTTTTCGAGACTCCTCCTCGTATTCGCTATCAATAAAATGGTCTACATTACATAATCATTAGTAGGGAAATATGTGGGAGCAGGGGGAAGGTGATGGGGTGTATGTCAGTCAACTTTGCTACTCTAACAAAATACCTGAGATAATCAGTTTATAAAGAGAACAGGCTTCTTTTGGCTCACAGTTTCAAAATTTCCAGCCCTTGATTGGTTGCTTCAGTAGCATTCAGCCTGTTGTGAGGCAGCATGTTATGGTGGGAGCACGCGGCTGGGGAAAAACTGCTTCTCTTGTGGACAGGAAGTAAAAGAAGAAGAGAGAAGGGCGGGAGTCCCAATATCCCCTTGGAGGGTATGCCTCCARTACCTAATGGCCTCCCAGTGGGCCCCCTTGTAAATATTCCCTCACCTCCCAAGAGACCAAACCTTTGGAGGACATTGAACATCCAAATGTAGGAGGATGTCATGGAGAGATTTTTTTATAATATCCTTCCTGAGTCCTGCCTCTAATTACCTCTTGATGAAATCTTAAAATACAGGTCCACCAATTTAKACTAAGAAAGTTCCTAGTACATCCAAACTCTTAGCATTTGACATCAGTTTACATTTGTATAAGAAAAGGGGTAACAGTTAAGAATGTGCCCCCTTCCTCTCTTAATCTGACTTTAAATAGCTGGAAGCAAAAGTAAAAAATACAGCCAGATGTTAAGTAACTGTTATATTGCCATGGTTGTGCAGATTACCTACTGGTTACATTCCTTTGCCTCCAGAAGAAAGATGAATTCAATAATTTGCCCCAACCTGGTTGAACTTCAGATAAATAAAACACTCCTGCTAACTACTTATACCTGATCCCCAACATAAAAGCCCAACTCCATCTGAAAATTCCCCTTTTTAAAGATAAAGCAAGATAAGCCTGCCCAGTCCTTACATCCTACATCCTATTCATATAGCAGAGTAGGGAATCTGCTTTCCCTGCTGGCTGCTTTTCTATTATCTCCATATGTCCATACTTCTCAAATGAAGGTCTGCCATCTTTAGTTCTTTCCCAGAAAATTCTCCTTAACCTTGAGCTGTTGCGGCCTTTAGAAATGCAGTATATTGAAACAAACCTTCTCATGGTGCATAGTTACATTCTGAATTTCCAAGTTCTGTGTGTTTCTTAATCTTCAGAGAATAGATTATTTGCTTTGACGAGGAGGCCATTGGTTGCCTTCTTTTGACAGGAGGGATGGAAACTCAAATAAGACAAAAGGTTTCCAAGAATGATACACATTATTTGTCCTAGGGATAGGACTGCAATGGATTCCTAGTTAATACTTTTCCAATACTTACTTCATCAAGATTTTAAGAGAGGGCACAATTATTGTCAACCCAAATGGGCATGACTCTTAAATAATTTATTCTATGAGRAGATCTGTATTAGAAATGGAATGGAACATTTTTAGAGCCTTGTGAAATTCATATGCTCAAGTTCCTTCATTTAAAGGTCAKCTCCCAGCTAAGAAACCTCTAATTATTCAATCTGTCAGCCTGAGGCTACCCTCTGGTGTCAGTCCACTGTGGCAGTCTGAGCTGCCTGAGAGACAGGCAGATTCTTGACCCACATAGCTAATGAGTGACAAAGCCAACACTGCAAATATGGTATTTTTTCCTGGTTTCGAACCCTGATACCTACTTAAGTGCTGAGTGTTTTGGCACCAAGTGGTCTGTATCTCTTCTGAGAAGTCACAACTCCTTATCTGCTCACCAACATTTCTCTTCTCTCACTGTCAGTTAGAATTGTGAAAATTAGACTTTTCTGGGATACGCATTTCTTGGGTGTAAAATACATTTCTAGACTCTGGAAATACATCATGACTCTGGGAATCACTTAAAAACATCCTCTGTCCTCTGTTGAAAAGGCACCTTTTAGACCTGAAAGGTTTGTTGGTGTGCATTTTCTTACCTGAGGTCAGATGGCCCCCCCTTTCTCCCCTAGACGATCAAGCCTTCCGACATCGCGACTGTCCGCACGCTGGGCAGACCCCCTCACCTCATCATGCGGATCATGGACTGTGTGCTGCTGCTGTTTCAAAGGAAAGTCAACGCCGTGAAAGTCGACCTGGAGAAAAGCTGCACTGTTCCTTCCTGGCAGGAATCTCTGAAACTGATGACTGCCGGGAACTTTTTACAGAACTTACAGGTTGGTAGTTCAATAATGATGGGCTATGGGGGCCCAGTCTGCTGGAGTAGCCAAGTCCTTCAGCAGAACAARTATCTAGAAAGAGCACACTCTACGTAGGTAGTTTGAACATGTGTCCAAGTGTTTTTTTCAGCGTAGAATTTTCTCTTTCAAACGTCAGTCATCATAAGCGTCAGAGCTTTTCCTGACAGACTTTAGGTGTAGTAAAGCATCATCAGTGATATGCACACCTCAATAAAAGTTAAAAAGTMAATTCAAGGAGAAGATATATGTGTTTTTGTTGTTTGTGTATGAACACAAATATAGTTGTCCCTGAGAATGTTCAGGGGACTGGTTCCAGGACCCCTGTGAATACAAAAATCAGAGGAGACTCAAGTCCCTATATAAAATGACATAAAATTTGCATATGACCTCTTTGCATTCTCCTGTATACTTTAAGAGACCTCTAGACTATTTATAATCCTAATGCAATATTGTTTAGGAAACAATGACAAGAAAAAAACGTCTGTATGTATAAGCACAGACACAATTTTTTTTCTGGATATTTGACCCACAATTAGTTGCATCTGTGGATACAGAACTCATGGATATAGGCACCCTACTGTGTATGCATTTTATTTATATTTTGAAAGTCTCAGTATTAATTTTTGTGTATCAATTTGCATTTTTAAATTGTTATGAGGTAGACTCTTTATGTACTAAAATGCACAAACTTTAAATGTACTGCTTGATGAATATTTACACATCTGTATACCTATTAATGAGCACTGAAAGCAAAATATATACCTCTACACTCCAGAAATCTCTCTTGTGTTCAAACCCAGTCAATAACCTTCTTTGGGACAACTATTACTCTGACTTTTATCCCAATAATAATTAGCTTTGTTTGTTTTGAAATTCACATATATGACATCATGTCATGTGGAATATTTTGTTTTGACCTTTTTAACTTGGCATATTTATGAGATTCATTCTTATTGTTGCAAAGGGCACTATTTCATTTTTTTTTCATTTATAGATTTCCTGCATGTGATTGTGCAATGGTGTGTGTGCTGACGGGTGGTTCTTTGAAGGGAAGGAAAAAAAAATAAACTCTCTGATTTGTGGCCTTTGGCACAGTGTCACTACTCCCAGGGTGGCCAGTTGCAAGCTCCCAACAGGCTGCTGCTGAGTGTAGAATTGGGGAGAGTCACGGCAGTGTGTCAGTGTGCAGTGTGCCACCAGATGGCTGCCACAGGTGCAAATGACCCCCAAACACACAGGTGACAGGGACCTGTCATAAAATAATGAGAAATGAGGAGTCTTTGCTTATCTTTATTTTAAATGAAACCTACTCAATTATAAGTTTATATGCTTTAATTTTAATATGACCGTGTTTAATAATCAGTTTGCACAAATTTCCCACATTTTGATGATAATTTCTCACAAGCCAGTCTGAATCAGCACCAGTGTGAAACACTGTAAGAGCTTCAATTTGTCCATTGGACTGTTCATAGATTTTTGGGTTTTTATTAATTTGAGGCTCTTACAAATAAAGCTGTTGCTAATATCGATCTACAGGTCATTTGGGAGCTGTCTATGCAGGAATGGAATTTCTGTGTCTTAGGTTGTACTCATTTAATCAGTTTTGGTACATAGTACTGAAGAGTTTTCAAAAATTGTTATGTCGAATTACATACCCACTGGTGGTGTAGGATTTTCTCCACATTTTTCACCTTTAGCTGTGCTGATGAGTTTGTAGTAGCATCTTTTTTTTTAACATTTTTTTAAAGAGAGAGAGAGAGAGAGAGAGARWWTTTWWWATWTWTWTTTTWKWKTTTKKSGSRSACAMMAYMTTTGTATGTGGTGCTGAGGATCGAACCCGGGCCGCACGCATGCCAGGAGAGCGTGCTACCACTTGAGCCACATCCCCAGCCCCTGTAGTAGCATCTTATTATTGTGGGGATAATTGAATTTCCCTGATGACTAGTGGTGCTGAAGATATTTTCATAGGTTTATAAGCCTTTTTTTAAGCTAAATACCTGCTCAAGTTTCTTATCCATTAAACATTTTTAAATCATGCTGTGCATGGTGGCACATGCCTGTAATCACAGTGGCTTGGGAGGCTGAGGCAGGAGGATCGTAAGTTCAAAGCCAGCCTCAGCAAATTAGTGAGGCTGTAAGAAACTTAGTGAGACCCTCTCTCTAAATAAAAAATAAAAGGACTTGGGATATGTCTCAGTGGTTAAACACCCCTGGGTTTACTCCCTTGTACAAAAAATTTAATCTATGTGTAAAATGTCTTTATATATAAAACATGACTAATTTGATACTTATATATTTTCAAATATTTCTTGCCACTTCCTGACTTAGTTGTTCATTCTATTAGTGGTGTCTTCTGATAAGCATACATACTTAATTTTAATTTACTCCAACATGTCACTATTTTTGTTAATAGTATTTTCTGTGTTCTGTTTAGATCTTGGCTGTCTTATAAGAAAGAAAAAAATTTTCCTATGTTTTCTTCAGAAGTTTTATCTTTTATGTTTCAATCTAACTAATTGGGAATATCCAACACAAGCMTGTTTCCTAAGATGTAACTTTAGCACACACTTTCATTTGGTTTTCATTTCAACATTGTTCAGGTGACTGTCTATGGCTAGAATATCTTATGAGGCACCTTTAGCTGCTGTAATAATAAGTAACTTATGAAACGTGTAGGCCGTAGACTTTTCTCAGGTAACTATGAGACTATGTGACAATGGAATTGGATTTTAATCAGAATACTGGCAAGTGAGTCCAGGTTCCTGCCTTACTTACCTTGTGGCAGATCCTCTGTTCCTGGAAGCCTTCTTACTATTGGTTTTCTTGTCACTCCCACACTTCTATTGCTTCTAGATATTCTTCTGTTTTTTTTTTCTTCTGGTTTCACTATTTGTAAAGTCTTACAAGCGAAATTTGTCTCAAATGATTCTGAATGAGACTGTGTTCTGTTACATGTGTTGTCTGGGCGAGGCTATTTTACTCAGTTGTTTAGGTGCTAAATTGGTTCCTACTCAGAAAAAATTTAAGCATTCCCTTTTAGTGGAAGAAACCTCCCTACCTCATTTAAAAAGGTCTGCTTTCATTGTTTGGTCAGTCTTTTCTTTCTGATGCAGAGAAGCATGTTTAACCCATTTCTGTTGCTATTTTAAAATTATATTTTAAAGGATACTAATTTTTCTCATGTTYTTGATAGGTCTATGATTAAAAATTAATTTATTATCCTCAAGGGTTAATGTCCAAGTTATTGTTTTCACATAGGTGAGGTTAATAGAACTTCTCTCTGAATGTATTAAACATTTTGAGCTGATAAATGCTAAACCTATAGGTACTTAGGCTTAATATGCCTGTGTGTGTTTGTTTTTTTCTGTTAATATTATGGGTTTGTAATTCACCTATTTAGGATTAATGACAGAATTTTTCGTTGCCTTAAAATTTCTAACAACCCTGTCAGTGTTCACCACCAAATAATCTATACTTTCCATGAATCCCCGTATATTTACTTGGGGTTGGCATTTCTTGTCTACAGCAGGCAAAGTTAGTCTCACAGATTTCTTTTCAATCAATCCTTGCTGTGATTTGCTTTAGGACTTTGGCCTGATGTCCTGAGATACTGACAAAATACCATCYGTTTTTGTTCAATAGTTTCATTTGCACTGAGAACATAATGTGAATTTGATTTCATGGAAAAAAGTGTTTTTACCTAATTTTGCTCTTTTCCTCTACAGCAATTCCCCAAAGACACAATCAACGAAGAAGTGATAGAATTTCTGAGCCCTTACTTTGACATGGCAGACTACAACATTGAAACTGCTAAACGCGTGTGTGGGAATGTAGCTGGTCTTTGTTCCTGGACCAAAGCCATGGCTTCCTTCTTTTCTATAAACAAAGAAGTTCTGCCCCTGAAGGTAAGCTTCCTGGTAGGACTGTGAGAGCCATGCCGGGAGGAGTCTCCAGGTCACAGTATTATTGGACGCAAACCCACAGGGAGATCAGGTGTGAGGTAGACAGGACAGGGTATTTCTTTTTTTCTTCTCTGTAATCCCAGTTCAGTCAGAATTGTGTGAGCCTTTTAAGCATGGGCTGACTTTCTTTCTTTTTTTAAAAATTATTTATTTATTCTAATTTGTTATACAAGATGGCAGAATGCAATTCATTTCATATTACACACATAGAGCACGATTTTTCAAGTCACTGATTGTATTTTCAAGTCACTGATTGTACACAATGCATTTTCACACCATTCGTGTCTTCATACATGTACTTAGGGTGATGATGTCTAACTCATTCCACCATCATTCMTACCTGCTTGCTACCTCCCTTCCCCTCCCTCCCCTTTGCCCTATCCAAAGTTCCTCCATTCCTCCCATGACCCCCACACAGAGCCATTATGAGTCAGCATCCTCGTATCAAAAAAAGCACTTGGCCTTTGGTTTTTTGGGATTGGCTTACTTCTCTTAGCATTATATTCTCCAACTCCATCCATTTACCTTCAAATGCCATGATTTTATTCTCTTTTATTGCTAATATTCCATTGTGTATATATGCCACATTTTT